TGTGTGTGTGTGTGTGTGTGTGTGTGTGTGTGTGTGTGTGTGTGTGTATGTGTTTGTATGAGTTTACTGACAATACTACAAGTACTAAACAATAATGTTATTAATATTATAATTATTATTATTATTATTATTATTATTATTTTTATTTATTTATTTATTTTTATTTATTTATTTTTTTTTCTTCATAATTTCACATAAACACTTAGATACAAATTCAATTAATTAATTATTTATATTTCTATAAGTTAATATATATATATTTAATTTATATTCGTGAAGGATTGGATTTAAAAATGAAATACTTATATAAAACACACTTCAATATTAAGCAAATACACATCTTTACGTATAAAAAGATTTGTAGTGTAAAAAGTTGTTCGATATTCATACATACATCAGTTTAGTTACCTTTTCTAAATGATAAAAACGCTATTGTGTACATTCAATTCTAGGTTAAGGTGTACATTTTCCGAAAATAACATATTGTTTATACCGAACGTATTATACATGTAAAGGCATAGTGGCATAAATTGCTATAGAAATTTATAGATAGGTGTATACTAAGGTGGTAATTAGTTCAAAGCCATAGACACTTTTTAGTTTATTAAAAAAAAAAAAAAAAAAAAAAAAATATATATATATATATAATTATCTTCAACCTCACTGTACGATTGTATTTATGGGCGTATTATCTATCATTCCGTTTCTTATAGTTGGAGTTGTTTGCCCGCGTGAGCAACTGCATACACATACTAATATTTTTGATTGACATCAGCACTGGCTTCGTCATAGTCACTGTTCAATATGTTTGCCTGTACAATTAATTATAAGATGATAAACAGATCCGAAAGTTGATTCATATCCTTTAGTTAGTTAGTTAGTTAGTTAGTTAGTTAGTTAGTTAGGTTTAAGCAAATCTGTAAAGGCAGTAAAATGCTACGCCGACGTGTAATAACCTTTCGATTTATATTTTACAAATTCTGTAAAGTAACACTGGAAACGGAATAATAAACTTTGTATGTGTACCTCATCTTGAGCAGTAATAATTATTAATAATGTGGGATATGACTCTCAATGCAACCAAAAAAAAAAAGAAGAAAAATAAGAAAAAAAATTAAATGTCGATCGGGACCGGATCTTTTATACCCATCACCGTTATCCCAAAAAAGACACAACAAGTAAAAGAACAATATTTCCATGCTCTATAATATGCAGAGGGCGCAGTCGATATTTTCTATTTTCAAAATAAAAGTTTTTATCGCAAACGCATGTGGGCGTTGTAGGCGTGTCTTTGGAAAAGTTTAGGTCAAAACCAAATTCTTTTGCGAATTTGTAGGCGATATCTTCAATTTCGCCAACGGGAGAATGTTCACCACAAATACTACAAAGTTGCGCAGACAGACAGATCGACGGACAAACGGACGGACATGTTTAAGTGTATTCATAAGATTTGAAAATGGCCAAAAGTTTTTATACTTTATGGGGTTTTTGAAGCATGCTGCTGCGCGTTCTAAAGGTATTGAGAAAACAATTAAACTTTGATACACTGCAATATTGGGCAGGCGTGGTCAATTTTTTCCCATTTTTGACACAAATGCTACAAGACCGTCACCCATAGAATATACGTTCAAATTGTTATACAATTATTCGCTGTAGTTTATGGGTAATGATTAAAAAACGAACTTTTCATTCCTTATGAAAAGCAGAGGTGTTCCCATTTTACATGGCGCAGTGGGCATGCCCTTCGACGTATTTGGTCCATTTTCAATACCCACCTGCGTGCGAGAACTTTCCATGTTGCTGCCACATTTAAAGCCAATAGCTTCACTTTTGCGATCAGGAGAACATTTAAAATAGACAGAGAGACAGACGGACATACTTAAATCGATTTAGTATTTGATGCTGATCAAGAATATATATATATATATATACAATTTGTGGAGTCTCTGATGCTTCCTGCTGGACGTTGCGTTTTGACAAAATGAATATTCCCCGCATTCTACGGTAATGGGTGTAAAAAAAAAAAAAGATATAATAGAGTGGAAAAGGAAAGTGAAATCGATCTTGAATGAAAAATCTTATATATGTAAATGTCTTAAATGCTTACATGCCATTCATATGCTGTGGATCGCGTCATGTTCATTATAAAATAAAAGTTGAAGAATAATTTTCAATATAAAGATAGGACTATTATTCACCGCTACTGCCACACCCCCTTCCCCCCCACTTTCATTAATAATAATTTTTAAAACTGTATGTTTGTGTTAACTCTTTCAAACAAAATAAATATCTTTAGATGAACGATGCCTACTGTTAGGCGGTGGCAATCAATAGCATGAACGTTTCGCTTATGGGACGAGAGAGAAAAATTGTAAATGAAGGCTGGCTTAAGATTTTCGCAGATCGAACGAAAAAAGAAAATATTTACTTGCGTTTTCCGATGCCAGGTTCCGCTGATCTGTTTACGTTAAGTTTGTTTTAAATTTTTATGATTTCAAGAAAATATACATGTTGCGCAATCACGTTCTATTCCTGAACTTCTCTTGATTAGTTAATGAATATATATATATATCTTTGTATATATCTTATTTCAATAAATGTAAATATAATTAAAAATATAATAAAGTATGAGACGAGTATTCTTGCAACTCTCTACAAAATTCCTATTATTGATCATTAATTGTTTTCTTCATTTTTTTTTTTTTTTTTTTTTGCTACCACTTTCAAATATTTTTGACTTTTATATATAATATAGTAATTTTTTGTATGCTACAAATACACTTCAATTATAAATATTTGATAGGCTAAGGAATATTGAGTAGGTGTAATAAGTGGGACAAATAGATTGTGATATTGATTGTGAGTTTTTTTTTTTTTTTTTTTTTTGTTTGTCTTAACATAACGTTCATTAAAATTTTTAATAGCTACACTGAATTAATATCGCTTATATATATATATGACCGTTAGAAGTAGCCTGTAACCCCTTTGCGAACGCGCCTATACGTGCGTGAAGGATTGCAATGAAATATGAAATTCGAAATCTCTTTAATTGTATTAACCTGATCCTCTTATTCCCCCGTAAGCAGTTTTACCATCAAAAAAAAAAAGAAAAAGAAAAAAAAATATTTAAATTAACTTATCTCCTAGGATAGAAAAGGTTACCATTAAAGATAGTGCACAAAACTCGAAAGAAAAATGCAAGAGTTTTTCGTGGGATGTTTTGAAAAACGCTTGTTTCGAAATATGTTTGCAGACAGGTAATAATAAATTACGTTTTTTTTTTTCCAATTAGTTCGCAAAACGTTCGTCTTCCGTCTTTAAATTGTCTTTCTTATGCCGCTATTCCAGCATGCAGGACAGGCATGGGTTACGTTTTTATGTTGCGAATTGACAAAGGAAATGGAAAGAAAATTCTATTGGAAAGTATCATCACCAAAATTTAATTTATTCGTAGAAGCGATCAAAGGTTTCGAATTGCCCTCGGCCTTGTCAGCCTGTTCAGCGGTCGTCTCAAGGAAGCTGCAAATGCTTTTAAATGCACAGAATTGCTTTCGAAAGGCATCTGTTAGCAAAGGCATGGTTAGGGAAATTAGAAATCTAGAGTTAAGACAAGGGGCTACAAAATTTCCAGCACAGATTCACTTTATGAAGGGACTTTGTTCGAAGAATTTCACGAAAAAGTCTGAAATTTTTTTTTTTTTTTTAGAAAAATCAACAATGGTATTACACCCTGACACCCTTAAGAATATCCAAGAAGGCCGGACTGTCAACTGGACACAATGTGTTTTCTTCGATTATTAAGCGATAGTTGAAATGAAACCGTTCCCTATTCTTATAAAGTGTAAATACATCATATAGTATAACAAGATGTTACAGCGTTACAGATATATATATTATATTATAAATGCTTACCTCAAAGACATTAATTTCTACTTTAAACTACTTATCGATTAAAGTTTCTTCTTCTTCTTCATCTTCTTTATCTTGTAAAAATTTGTGCATACTTTATGCCGCACATAAGCTTAATTATTCTCGGTTATCTCAAGAGTTTCTTGAACGTTGAAATCTTTATCGTTGCCCGCTTTAGATTTGACTTTTTCCGATTTTTTATCTTTATCCAAATCAGTTTTCTTCGATTTGCTCAATTTTTCCGATTTGCCGCCAACAATGTCGGCCTTGTCATTATTCGAAGTGCCACTGGTTGATGCTCGTTTACCACTTCGAAATTTAAACTTTGGCATTGGTGCGGCTGCAGCATTATTGGCACAGTTACATATCGCATCAAACACGCGTACCACAAAAACACGCGCCAAATTACCCATTTTACCATTGAAATCTGTGAAATCTTCTTTATTCAGTTCATTCTTTTTTTTTGTCTTTTTTTTTTCAAATTTTTCTCAACATAATTGAAAGAAAATCAAAAAATATAGCAAAACAAAAGGGAATCAAATAAAATGAAATGAAAAATGATATTAAAAAAGAAAAAGAAAAAAAAAAAACGAAGAAATTTTTGACGTTTTTCATGAAAAAGAAAATAAATTCAATAAATTTTCAATTGAAGACAATTTCGAAGAAGTTTTCGCTCTACAAGCTCTTGGTCAATTTATTGCAATGCGTAACTGAAATGGATGTCATCATTTACGACACGGGAAGGAATCTAGCTGAAACTACAGAAACGAATACGATTTGCGAAATTTGTAACCAAAAATATTTGGTCTTGAAAACGGTGAAAATTTTCACAAGTTCGTTCGTTCGTCATTAGCAAAAGCAGCCCAACAGCAGTAATAAGTTAAGCTTGGGATAGAAGCTTCTCTACCGATTGCCCGAAATACTCTCGACATCCGTCTTCTTCCCAACTAAATATTGGCTCAGATCGATGCGGTTATGTTTAGCAGACCAATAGCTGTGCAAAGTGGAATATATACGAAAATAGATCGATGATTATTTCACCTTGGAACTAAGAAATTTCTACAGTGAGGTCATCCGCAAGCTGCCCATCAAAAGGTAAGAGATTTCCGACTCTTTCTGACTCTTGAATTGAATTTAGATATAAATCGATTTTTATTGTTACGCTCAGCCGCAACAATCATTAATGAACAGTAGAAGAAAGAAGATAATATACATACATTATGTATTTTTTAATGTCCCCTCTGTTACGATAATTGATAAGAAATAGCGCTGTTGCATTATCAGCCACTGGACCGTGTTCTGTTCCATTTTCGTTATTTTTATAAGCAAAAGCTGTGCCTAAGGCTGTACAAAGCAACTCATGAATCGATCTAAAATTGTCTATCACTCTGTGATGTCTGTCCATATGTTCTTGTTTTCAACCTGCAGATTACAGTCTTTGAAAATTTTGGTACATCGTGTGTGTGTTTTGGCTGAAAGAGGAAACCTATTGAAATAAATTGCAATCGAAGCTTCTCCCATAACGCCTTATATTGGAAAGTCATTACATAATAAAAATATGAAACGTTACAAACAGCTGTGTTAAGCGAAATATCGTTGGGTATTTAAAGGTCGGGCCGTGGCCAACTTTAATGGTTTTACATGTTTTGAAGAAACAGAAATTTCGAATTTTTCAATGTAAGTTCATATTAACAATGAAACGAAAACGAGTCGCATTCCTTACCTCATCTTGGGATTTCTTTTCGCACGAATGCACGTAACTATGCGCTTAAAAAAGATTCATATGAAAAAACCTTTAACAGAATTGGAAATGATGAAGCAAGCTGTCAAATCGCTGCTGACATGAAAAAGACTCTTCTTCTGTTACGTTAACAGAGATACTGCAAAAGTCTTCGTGATGCAAACTGACTTCAATTTTACAAATAATTCTGTAGTTTGCTGCCTTGGTGGTGGGGCATTTAGATCCCGTTCGCTTTAAGGCTAATTATTATTCAGTTATCTCTTGTAGAACGTGCTAACCCATCTCTCTCTTTCCATTTTCCCTTTCTCCCTCTCTCTCTCTCTCTCTCTTTCTTTCTTTCTTTTCCCGTCCCCTTCTCTTTCTTGATATGACTCGATACTTCAGGGTTCTTAGGGCAAAAACATCAAGTTCAAATATTCGAATAACTTCAAGTATTAGATAAGGGTTACGTAAAAGATGCCAGCGAATGAATGACGTAAAGCAATATACTGCATCCATTAATTAATAATAAAATAATCTTAGGCGAAGAAAGAACGCCGCTCCTTGCCCGCAACTGAGCAAAATACTTTTATAGAAAATTAACTCATAAAATGCAATATAATGGAATGACGAGAGACTCTATAATTCTAATTCGCACGATTTGCCAATAATATCTAGGCTTTCCTAATTTCTATGACAACCTATTCAAAGATCAAGGATTCATATCATCGCTACCATGAGGCGCAACTATTCATTAAATTTATTTATTACGTCGCCTGATTTTAATGCGATTGCAAACTTGAACAAAAAATCCTCTCATCGGACTTATTTCGAATTCAACTATCAAGTAACACAAATCATTTTCATGGAATAAAAGCATGAAAACGGATTAACGTCAAAACTCATAGCTTCGAACGTCTGATGACGTCATCAGCCAATATAGAATATGCATATGAATAGCGGTGAGAGTGCAGCCTTAATAAAAGTCGAAGAGCACCGAATACTTGAATACATTCTCATTAATACCTCATATACCTCACGTATAAGCTCAATATTTACCTCAAGAGGAATCAAATTTACTTACCTCTTTTATGCAAATAATTTAGGTTTGCAAATTCATTGTGAGAGGTCCGCCTACCGATAATTCTGTCATCTAATTCCGAACACACGTTTCCTATTAATGAATGCTGCCTGATTCAAGAAACTGTCAAAATATTGACATCAAATTTTAGAACAATATGAAGGATACTTAGGATCAAAATTTTTATCATTACTTCGCTCACTTGGCAACAAACATTAATTAGTGTATTGTCGATATATTTGTCGATTATATTTTTAAAATTAAAAATGAAAATTCCGTCTAAATAAAACCGCTGGTCTGCCGTGGTCAACATTTCCCGAGTCAAATGCATGCATGCAATGGCTAGTAAAAGTGTGCAACTATTGTTTGTTTGTCATGTTTTCAATAAGTGTTTCGGATATAGTTAAAGCTTTAAACTTTTTTAGAACAATTCGGCTGCTCTTTCAGTTTTAGGTCTCCGTGCAGGAAAGAAGAAAAAAAAATATAAAAAAACAATATGACAATAAATAAGTAAGAAAGTTATATTCGACTGGGGCCGAATCTCGCATACCTACCACCATTAAAGTCGTTGGGGGCCCATGTCTTCATTTATGGTCATAGATAAAATATTATTTAGCTTTCACTTTTTACTTTGCTAAAAGGTATTGTTCAGAATAATTTATCTACTGATCTAATCTGACGACCATCATAATTGATTTAAAATTAACACTCTTGTCTAGCTTGTCACTTTCTACGCTTCAAGTTCTTTTATATGATACCCATATCAACGATATTTTGTCGTAAAAATCAAATCCATCCGGTCGCGATATCCATCATAATTAATTTAGAATTAACACAATTAGCTTGTTGGTTAGCTACTATCCAAGTGCTTTTATTTGATACCCATATTTATAGAACTATTAAGGCCGTGTCAGTGTCATTTTAGAAATAACCCATTTTTCGACAAATATATTTTGATTTGAGTAATGAACGTGAAAAAGGTGAAAAAAGGAAAAATTGCATTTTTTAGAACCTTATGTGGGAGTGTGGTTGATTATTCTATTTTTGCAGGTAATTAAAAGAATTTTCCATAAAGTATATATATATATATATATATATATATATGTAAAAAATTTGGGCCTTCTATCTTTCATGATATGTAAACAATGAGCAAAGTCATCATAAATTTACGTTTAGAAAAATGGAGATGCATTCAGTTTACGCTTATGTTCATACCAATTCGGCCCGTTTTCAATACCAGACTACGTGCAAAAACTTCCAACGATCCGAACAAATTTGAAGTCGATTACTTCATTTTTACAGCCAGGAGAGCGCCAACAATGCACAGATGGACAGACATGGCTTAATTAATTCAGAATTTCATTCTAATCAAAATTATACATACTTCATATGGTCTCTGAAACTTGGGTTTGTGTGCTGCAAACACTGTGACAAAATGAGTATATACCTCCCAGCCACTTCAATGATAGGTATAAAAATATTAATTGAACTTAAAAATAAAACAGATAATGAAAATAATCGCACTTACTTGGTTTTTGTGATTTTGATTTATTCTGAAAGAAATAAATATCGACACAGTTCGTACAGTAGATTTTGATTCACTTAAGTATATTATTATTATGATTTTTTAGTAATGAATCAATGAAAATATTTAAAAATTTACAAACCTGTTGCGAATTTTTACAATTTTTAGCAATCTGTTGACGACTGGCCGCCTCCTCTTCGGCCTTCTGGAGGACATCGTCGACGAATTCGCAGACCACCACCATATTCGATGAATCACTTTTGAATTTCATAATGCGTGTTTTAAGACCATCATGTGTTCGTGCATTGTCTTGGGATGAACTTTCTCTCATATCGTCATCATCCGTGTCGGATGATAAGGGAACATCGCTGGCAAAGTGAGCACGCATTTTAATATTTTCCTTAATTATTCCTCTTTTTATCTTTCCTTTTATTATATACATATATATACATATTTACATATATATGTATATATATATATATATATATATATATATATATTAAAACATATTTATTTTGCTTTTTGTTTAATTTTCACATTTCCTATTCATTTTGATTTATATGTATATGCATATACTGTTCGACAAACTAGCTGACTGGCACCCTGACAAGTTGATATTAATCTTGATTTTGGCGTTGATTTATAATAGTTTTCTATCTATAATGTGTATGAATAATCAATCGTATGCGTATAAACTGAAAATTATGCTCTCACAATATTGCTCATACGATACGTACACCTATTTGTACTAATAAGAGAGAAACTTTATTAACATATGTATCTATAGAGATACATAGTAAAAGCTACCTAGGGAGTAGTTTCAATAACTCCTTCTACTTGACGAATATACTAAAATTGTCATTGCTTTGGTAACGTCTCTTCCGTTGATTATGCCTTAAATTCACAATTGCTCCATACGGATGTGACACTCATTTACATGCGAAGACATTAACAAGTACAAACGATTAATGCAGATCTTCTTTAGCCTGCAATCCTACCTTGAATAGGTAATAATAATAATAAATGAAGCAATAAAATTACAAAATTACCCACGAATAATCACAATTCAAATATTATAATAATTACGTTAGATTTCGATCTATAATAACTAACTAAGTTTCAATCGATTCAGATATTTACCTACCGTAAAAAAGCGGCACATTTCACGTTATAAACGTTCCAAATTTAAATAATATTAGATTCGTTTTAAATTCTATTTTTGCTGCAGGAATTTTTACGAACATGCCTTCGTTTTATTAACCATGTGTAGAGGTGACTCGAACAAAACGCTTGTCATTATTTCTCCACTAAACGATAAAATTGGTAAAAAATCGGTATTATTTCTAAATTTCTTCCCTACAAAATAATAACGACAACATCATGTAGGAATTTTGTATGAGGTAAAAGTTTATTGGAAAAATCAATAATTTTAGAACACTGCACTGCGTAGATGTTCTATGGCTAATAAAGAAATTAAACGAACGAACAGGCATTTTAAGTCTTTGCTTCTTTTTTAAATCTTAAAAAAATTAAACTTAAAATTATTATTATAACGTGTATCAACGAGTTAACGCACTCACTCCAAATGTGAAAGATCATCTAATTCGGGTGGTGGTCGAACTTCCTCGGTCTCAATTATAATCGCGCTGGCATCAACGGATGTCTGGCAACCATCAAAAAATTATAAGAAGATTAAACAGTTTAAAACGAAGGCGAACTTTTTGCAAAAAAAAAAAAAGAGATAGTACTCAACTCACTCTTTCACTGCGATTTAATAAACTATTGCTAACATCGTTACCATCGATTGCCCCAGCTGCGCCTATAACCACGTTATTGCTCACACTGTTAACAAGGTTATTACCTGAATTCGAGCTATTACCGTTCACTGCGGATGCACTGTTTGTCGAAAGGGACGATTGCGGTGTTGGGGGGCGTTGATATGTTGCTGTTGGCTGCTGTTGCTGATTACCTTGTATAGTTTGCGATTGCTGTTGTTGTTGTTGCTGTTGTGGCGATTGAATTATTTGCTGTTGAGTTTGTGGTACAATTACGAACTTCTGTGGTGGTTGATTTTGTTGTGGGGGTAAAGGCTGTTGTAGTGTCCTGATTTGAGGCAAATTACTTACCACGGGGCTTCTGCGTGTAAAAGATTGCATGTTTACAATTAAATTGAAAAAAAAAAAAAGAAAAAAATTATGTGATAAATTGATAAATGGACCAATGTTGTAGAAAGCAAACTATACAATAATCTAATTAACATACTCGTCGTATGTGATTAATAAGGCTGTAAGTAGGAAATAATTGAATGGTAGATAATAAACGTAAACTTACGCTTGTCGCTGCGGAATGATTTGTGTAACTTGAGGCCTGCCAATAGTTGTAGCCGTTTGGGCTGCTGAAGTTATGGGACCACTTGAAATACTCGACGAAGACGGTGTCACTACTGCGGAAGAGGGATTATTTCGAGCCTTTATAACCGCCTGACATAATGAAGGGCCCAAAAAGCCAAAATCGTTTCTAATCGAAGAAAAGGATAAATTTTAAGAAGAAAATATTTCAGAATAAATTTGCTCACTTATATTCTTCCGCATAGTCAGAGGGTGAACGTATCTGCTTTAGAATGGGCGGGCACACTTTTTGCAACATCGCTCTTATATGACCGGCCGCTGTTTTATCAGTGTTACTTTGTAAAGTGCCCAATAAATGTCCTTCAATTCGTTCCGAAATGAACTTTAAACGGGGCACGATAAACACTTTAATAACTTCCCCACCTAACTCGGAAAGACCAGCAATCGAGCCGTACAAAGACGACAAATGCGTTTTGTCATTTTGTAAAGCTTTGCTGAAAATACGTGTAACTCGAGTTTGTAAATTGTTGGTGGACGTATTAAAGGTCTTGCAAATTTGTGCCATTAAACGGGAAGCAAAATCGCGCAACGCCCAATGATTATCTAATTCTGGACGCATACACAGCTGCTTAGAAACTATGCAAGTGGTAACCGAAGGAATGAGTTCATGCAACTGCAATTTTTAAAAATTTCTTTGAAAAACTAATTACACTCATTGCTTATATTTCATACATATTTCTCTAAATAAAGAGAAGGATTGTCTAGTAGGGCTTTCACCATACGCATAAGGTAAATCAACAAAGCTAAATTGTTTTGCACCACATTAACTTTGACACCTTCAGCTATAAAAGTACACATCCGCGGTAACATTTCATGTAAACCGGGATCGGAGGCTAACGATTGCAAAGCTTCTCCTCGACGCGGCTCATCTGAACCGACACAAGCTTCAGTGATTTCTTTGTAATACAATTGTTGCTCAACTGACAATTCATGCGTTGCTAATTGTTTGACATGCACTGTTTCCACATTACGCAATTTATGAATTTTACCCGTGGCTGGCTTACCAGCTGTATCTTTTGTGATGCCTTGATCAAGCTTTACAACGGGATTGACAGAGTCCAATGCCTGCAAATCTTTTGATAGTGGAGGTGGATTCTCGGGTATAGTTGGTTGTATACCGTCCACTGCCAACCAATGAGTACGCAAGGTAATGTCTAGGGGTACTTTCGGAACATTACATTGTACAATTTCTGTTAGATCCATTTCTTTCTCTTCAATAAAATGCAATTCTCGCCCACCGCCCGAAGCAAAACGAAACGGTACAAAATCATTTGCAGTAAAGCCATATTGTGGCTCAACATTGCGCACTTTTAAAGCGTGGTCAATATCGCTTAATACCAATCTGTCTCGTTTAGAATGATGCATAAATTTTGCAGCATCCTGCACAATACGTTTAATTTTGAATGAAACATCTTCAGCTAATTCCTTAGCCGCATCGTCAGGAAGTGATCCAACACCAATGCTCTCTGCAATCACTTTCATCGATTCTGCTGACAAAGTTGTACCATACAACATATCGCCAGCAGTCGAGCCACTAGAATTACTCATATTTCCTACTTTTTACACAAAATCAAACACTCCATACCAAAAATTTTATAAAATATATAACTATCTCAGAATTTCTAAGCATAGAACTCTTACAAAAAAGTGTGACATAGCGTCTACATGAGTTGTAAGTAAAGCAAACAAAAGTATGATAAAGTTATACTATATTTTACAACGGTTCACATATTTCGTAAAGAACAGCTAACAGGATATCTACAATGCTGAATTTTTTCCGATATTTTATTTTAATTTATAATATAATGAACACAAGCTTGTAACTAAAATATGCACTTAACATTATCATAATTAGGTCGATATAAACTTAAAATCAATTAGAGTACTGATCTCAAATCTACTGAAAATGCTTTTAATGCCATGCGTATACAAATGTTTTGTTTCTTCTTAACAGATCTAAAATTATTTCATTAAATTGCCCTTTGTAGGAGTATTTTTGATCAACTTATTTTCGCGTAGCAGAAATTCAAAATTAAAAAATAATGTAAAAATGTTACTGCGATGGTTAATGGGTATGTTCAGTGAGCATTTAAAAAAAAGTGATTTTATTAACCGAATATTTTAAAATCGTTGTGCGATCGTAGATATTACTTTTTAAGGTGTCGAATTATCGTCTGAATTTAAACCAACTTTGTACAAAATTTTATAAGTAATTTGAGTTCATCGCTATGCATATAATTTAAGTAGTCATTTTCACAACCGCGAGAGTTACCAATTACCATTGTCTTATTAAACCTTACCTTATCGGAAGTAAGCGGTTTGAAATTTTAACAATAAATTGTAGAAATCCGTAGAGCGATAAATAAAAAATCCATTATTTACCGTAACGGTTAAATTTGATTTATCAAAATCCCTTCTTATTGTCGTTTGTCCTTTAAATATTATTATGTGTAGCTTCGTTAATATGTTAAGTAAAAAGCCAAATTAAGCTTTCTTCAATAGTAACAACTTCACGTAGATTGCTGAATGAACAAATATTGCCGCTGAACTTAAATACACCAAGCAAAATGCAACAACAAAATCCTAGCAGACGTTTATTTCGATAAAAAATAGGCAACAACAAAATCCAGCAGACATTTATTTCGATATATCGATTCTAGCAACTTTTACTTCGATAAAAAATGCAGCACAATATTCAGCAAACCTTTATTTCGATAGCGAAAGTTCTACACATAATTATGCATTGCTTATTCATGTGTGGTATGTTCAACATACAAATATCAAAAATTTATGAACAGCTGTACGAAAATGTTTAAAAAATACGGAAAGAAAATCCCTTTGTTCAATGTGCAAAAAAAATTGTTCAATTATTTCAATAAAAAAATTTGGCTCATTTAGTGAAAAGTAATTTCCTGTGCCACAATGAAAAACTATTTAAAGGTTGGGTTACAAAATGAAATACAGTAGGGAATAGAAACGTTAAGCTACTATTCGAAATTTCATGCGAACGAACCTTAACTTGTGAAAGTTGTGCAGTAAAAAAAGTGAGAATTTTTTTCGTCGACGCTTTTTTAGTAAAAAACGGCGCCATTTTAAGAATGTAAATGTGAATTTAACATACACATCTAACTATAAGTACAAGAAAAGCATAGAGTGAAAATAGATGAACTGTTGGATTGTGCTTCTTTTAGCAACTTTTTTTTTTTTTTTTTTTTAAGTTTTTTTATTAACAAAAATGCAGGAAATGTATTGTAAAAGAAGAATCGTTTAAAATAGCAGTGGAGAGGGAGTAAAAATTTTCCTAAAAGTTGTTCAAAATACAGCCTACGAATGGTAATCTTGAGAACAAAAGTGTAAGTAAATCTATGGATTTAGTCTATTTTTTATTGATGTAATTTTTTTTTTTTTTTGCTTAAAATTATTGTATTGTATAACTTCTGGTAAAAACAACCGTGGGAAATTTCTGTAGTCCTCAATGACCTAGTTCTACGTTTTATAATGTATCGATAAAAACATCATTTTTGTCCATAAAAGAACAGCAATAAAAAAAAGGTTAAGACTATTTTTATAATTTTTAATTTTTCAAAGGAAAACATCTGCTCCTTTTTTACGCCCGACTTGTTTTTCTTTTCTCATTCCGTGCCTTTCTAGCATTCTTGTTTTTTCTTTACCCTCTTTTTGTCAAGCAGTGTCTGTATCGTTTCTTTTATCCTTAAATATGTTTCTTTTGGGCTTGTATTCCATTTAATGCTTTGTAATATTTGTTTGTTTACACAATTCCGCGCTTTTTTTCTTGAATTTTAATTAGTTTTAGTTTTGAAAAAAATTGGTCAGGAAATTTATTTATATTGAAAAACATACTCCGTACACGTAGTCACATTACTTGTTTTTCCTGTTGTTACTACGAAAAAACTTATTGATTTTATTGTGTTTTCATTGGGTTTATTTTAAATATTTTAAAGAGAAAAAATAAAATACGCAAGATTTTAATGCTTTTAAGAGATAGTCAATAATTTGAAAATAGTATTATATTATTATTAATTATGTAAATTTGCTAATCATGACATTAGCTGCTTAGCGACGATTTCGTTATTTAAATAAATTAATGAAAGTTTTGAAAATTTTGTCACTATATGATTACAATTGTTTCCACAAATTCTAGTTAGATTTGTTTCCGACATATCAAAATTCTCATTAATGTAAATATATTCAAATTGTTTTTATCTCCCGCTCCTGCATTAGATGCTGCAGAAATTTTCTTCAAATACTTTTTCCTGTTTATTATTATTTCTAAGTTACTTTTAAATGAATGCCCTTTTGGCATTTGATAGGTATCTGAATCGCCGAAATCTGCTTCCAGAAAGCGATACCCTCTGCTAAAGCTAGATGCTTTAATTTCACATCAATGATATTGTTTATACATTATACGTAAATATATAAATTTATCGCATAATCCTTTCCCTGCTCACTTGTGTTATAGTATTTTGTCTACTCGCTGTTCCATTGCATTGCCATTTGAAATTGATGGTTTAATAATCATCAAAATTTTAATTTAATCGTTCTTTTTTGTGTTATATTACTTTTAAGTGAATAATCTTTAGCTTTTGATTATTTTCAAACTTTCGAAACTTTAATTTTTGACATTCAGGAACATCAATTTTATGATTGCTCGAGATAACGAAGCGAAATGTGGCTAAGGACTGCCTAGTTTAAATCTAATTAAAATTATTTATCTATTATACGTATTCTCTGTTCTATTTTAGAGTTTTCATAAGTAAATAATGAACAAATTGAATGATGCCACCACAAAAAATGTTTTGGAAGGGCAGCATCAACAACGAGAAGCAGCAAATGGTCAAGACAATGAGGTATTATTGATTAATTAATAAAACTAATAAATTTAGTTTGTTTTTAATTTCAAATATTGTGCTTTGCTAGTTTGTTAGCAATACAGCAGCCGGCGAAAATCTACAAAAAGATAAGCATAAAAAACGTCACGAAAAGAAGAAAAATACGATTGCCACTCCTACAAGTGGAATTTCGACATCAGACCCTTGTTCAACGTCGGCAACGAAACCATCAAATAATATTTCACATGTACCATCAATTCAAATACCATTAGCAACACAGTTTAGCATACAACGATCCGATTCGGATGGCTGTTTGCGCATGAAAATATCGGCCATAAGACCCTCAAATATATCAACATATACCGCCAATTATAAAAGCGGCAAAGATCAAAACAATACTAACTTAATCAGTGGAACAAAACTTAAAAATTTCGAAACCAAATCGAAATCATCAGAAAATCAATTAATGAACTCCTGTAACAATAACAATAATTTGGAAAGTTTAAAAGCAAAAATTATTTCTAAACCTGTTATTACGGAATCGTGTGAGGTGCGCAGCAAAGTTAATGAAAAATTAGACAATATGTCTGCTACAGTTCAACAAACGCTTAATGACTCTAGGAATACTGCGCACATGAGTGCGGTACCTTCTTCGGAATGTATAAGTGATGCAACCGACTCAGGTTGCTCAGAGGCTACTAACACAACTACAGCAAATGGTTTGGAAAAAACCGCTAAACGAATGAAAATCAAAAGAAAAAAATGTCAGCTTAAGGTCAGCGATAGCAAAAGACCTCTTAAGCAATTGCGAACACCGGAAATAACAAAAATTAACATGTTTTCTACTGATTCTGAAGATGAGCCGCTAAGCAATAAAATTCCACAAAAGATTCAACTTCCGCAGCAAAGAGCTCCGCGTTTATTATTGACAGCTATCAGTTCAAAGAGTTCGTCTTGCGTCACAACAAATACAACAATAATTCAAACAAATTCAACAAACGCTTCAACTGATCGTATAGGGCTATCATCAAGTGACAACGAATTACCCGATTTGGTAAGTGCGGCGATTAAACGTGTCGTTGTAGAGAGCGATGAAGATGACAATATATCAACGGCAGTGCTTTCTAAAGCTAAATCAAGGCAACTGCCGCAATATCAATCCACTTTATTGCAGGACTTCATGGAAAAAACACAAATGTTGGGTCAAACGCCTAACACAAAATCCGATAATGCGGACACAAGTAAACAAAAATTATCTCCTACGCGGGCTGACATACAGGCCCATTTCAATATGAACTCTCAATCTGATAATATAGCTTCCGGCAACAGTAATAACAAACGAAGACGAGGGAGACCTAAAAAGCCTTTTAAACTTACTACTGTATTGAATTTAAATTGCACTACTGATGCAATTAACAACAAAAAATCATTAACCTGTGCCTCAAACATAAATGAATCCGCAGATTCGGGAGTGGTGTCTACCACCAGCGTTTCAACACAAAGTACCTCGCCGCAACCCGCCACTACAATAGCGTCATTAAATGAGATGCCAAGCATTCATTCTCCGCAAAAATCTCAAACGCACACGCCAGAGAAAAATGTTACTAATAATGATGCCTCGACCTCTAAACCGAAAATTGACATAGCTTTGCTTGACAAACGGATGTACGCAACTGAACGAGTTCTTTATCCGCCCCCAAAGAATAAAAGAAGGCAATCGGTGTGTGCATCCGTAGTTCTTGAAAAGCGGTATGGATGCTCGAATCTGAATATAAGTGCTGGAAAAACCAGCAAAGATGACCAGCAGTTGGATCCAGCATGGCGTAAAATCGATATAAATCGTAAATTCAGAAGGCCTAGTGTGGCGAGTGCTGGTTACAAGAGTGATGGTGCAGACGATCGAATCTGCCGTCCAAGTAAGTCGACCATTTGTAGTAAAATTTTAGCAGCCAAAAGTGGATATGTGTCGGATTACGGCAGTTCCGCATTTCACGGCCGTTTATCACGCCACATTCGTCACGGAGGTCACAATTCCGGTTACAAGAGCGACGCCAGTTGCAAAAGTCGTTATAGCACTAAGAGTTGTGTTTCACGTCGTAGCCGAGCCAAATCATGTGGGTATCGCAGCGATTGTAAAGAAAGTGGGGCAAAATCATCAAAGTTTCGTCGGAAACGTCGCGAATCTGTTGCACAAAAGTCGCTAGGTTCACTAAAGGATGAACAAGACATTTTGCAATTGGCTGGGCTATCTTTGGGGCAAAGTAGCGAAGAAAGTAATGAGTATGTATGTAAACCTTCCCTTGAAAAATTGCCCACAACAAGTGCATCCAAAAAATACGGAGAAATTAATCGTTATATTGCTACGGGAGAGTATTTCGGTAGAGGTAGCGCCAATACCGGAATTGTCAATACATTTGCAAGTTTAAATTCAAAGGCACCTAGGCTTTTCGACACACTTGGCACTTTGAACGTTTCACATCCTAGTGCCAACAAACTATCGCTAGTGCAGCGGAAAAATTCTACCACCTCAGAATTTATACCCGATATTCTGCAGTTGTCAAGCACATCACAAGCAGTTCGAAAAATCAAGTCTCGACGATCTTCAGTGGCAAGTTACTGTAGCTCGTATTATTCGGGAACTTCAAAACTCAAGAGGAGAAGGAAACGGAAAACTTTCCGGTTTCCCAATCCAACGTCAAGCAAGAACGCAATTATTGATTCCAAGTTATTGACTGAAGTGGAGATACTTACCAACTCCTTTGCGTCACGTTGCCGTATTCAGCCTGGAAGTTTACCGGCACCTATTGGCAGTACTTCTCAAAAAGAGAAATTGATGGCAGAAGCCAGCAAGTTGCAACAAAGTTTGGTTGCAGCTGCTGCAGCGGCAGTTGCCACCAGTAGCAGCAGTAGTAAACGCGAGACGCGCGATAAAAGAACCGTAAAGAAGCGTAAAATTAATGAGAATTTAGATTTTGCAATTCTTTCTGCCTCTGCAGCTGCGAACGCCTTAACTTCTAGTGGGGGAGGGAATTCGAAACGCCGCCACAAGAAGGCTAGCAGTTCGAGCCCCGATGATCACACGTTGCCTTTAAAGAAACGACACTACCTGCTTACACCTGGTGATAAATCCAGTGAGGTAGCAGTAGCTGTAGCTGCCAAATTGTTCGCAAACAATGCGGAAGCCTGGGCCGCTGCAGCGGCTGCAGCTAAAACTACAGCATGCACAAAATCACAACAGCAATTCAATGCGAAAACAGCCAAAGCGAATTTAACGCCAAAAAAGCGGCACCTTCTTCAGCAGTCATCTTCTGCCGGCACAAATGAGGATGCCAATAGTGTGAAGACAACCAGCACCAATTCGTCGCTGAGAGTAACAGTCGGTGACCCTAATTCAATAAGTGGTGGCAAATTGTTAGATATCAGCCCACACTCCTTAAATAGTCTTAAACAAAACTCGGAAACAGTGAATAGAAAGCGATCGCGTCTAGAAGGACTTGTATCAAAAATAGCTACACATCAGGGAGGGGAAGACAATTGCATTAATAAGGAGAGTATGAAACAAGGCAAAACGAATCTCTCAACTTCCATATTAATAGATTCAGAAACATCTTCCTGCCCACCACCAGGTATTTTCGAGCCCTCGGTTGAACTAGAAATACAGATACCTTCTATCAGTAAGCTCGCTGAAGCTACAACCGGAATTATAACAAAATCGGAAATAGATTCACCACTTTTATTGGATCTAAATCGAGGTTTTGTTATGGCAATGGGCAAAAGTGAAGGAACAAAGGTCGTGGAAACGTTACTCAATAAAACTGGAGGCAATTTACTACTGAAACGAAAACGAAAGAAGATTAATCGCACTGGATTTCCAACGGTTAGACGTAAAAAGCGTAAAGTTAACGAACAATTGATATCAGATATTACGCCAGTGATCAGTAAAGAGCAAGTTGAAGAAGGATTGAAAACATTTGCTGCTCCAACGGCACAAATTTGTGATCGTGTCCCTCAGGCTGGAGAAACTTCAGATACATTCCTTGAGCGTAATAATCGTACGCCCCGATTATCAGTAGTAGCTCTTGAACGTTTACAAGAGACACCCAACCTCAGTCAAGGAGAGAGATTGAGCAATATAGATAATTCGGAAGTATCCACTCCCAAAACTCGACAGACAAGAATTCAATGTAAACGCAAGATTGCAAAAGAAGAACCGTTACTGCTTACGCCGAAAGTTTCTCAAATGACGTCACAAAAAACTATACCGAATACTACTGAAGAATATAAAAAGCTACATGTGCCAAGGATGAGACGTTCCAAAGTTATAAATCAAGAGATTAAACCTCCGATTAAGCCAATCACTTTACCAATAAAACAGGTACGCAAACCTGCTAAAAAATCTGTGATTGATACCAAAGTCAAGTTACCGGCCGGCATAGATCCAAATACTAATTTCAGTTGCAAAATTCGACTTAAACGCAGATCTTCCATGCATCCTACTACAACTATTCCGCAACCAATCCCGATTGATGACCTGGAAATGATAAGTACGCCTGAAGAAGTGGAAGAGCAATCATCTGCTAAGGATTGCAATATTGACCATTTAGAGCAAGACATTTTGCCCTTAACGGAGACTCAAATAGGTTTAATATTAATAGATACCGAAGCCAGCGATACTAGTGACGAAAAATCATCGATAAATTCTTTAGTAATAAAAAAAGCACGTCTCGTTAGGAAGACATATCTGCCCGCAGGGCTGTTTTCCGATTATTTTAAAGTACCTCAGTTGTTAACAAAGAAGCCTATTAATCGAAAAGACGCCGAAAAGAAGGAAACAACAAATATTATTCCATTGGAAGCGGCAGAGAGTAATGCTGATCTTGAAGTGCATAAATCTCTATTGCCGCCACCTCCCTACTGCGAGAGATATTTTCGACGTACTCTAATAGATTTTGAACTGCCACACGATATTTGGTGGGCATATAAAAATTGTAAATTGCCGTCCCGCATTATGGTGCCCTCTTGGAACTATCGTAAGATTCGTACCAACATTTACGCTGAATCCGTGCGACCGCCAAATATGGCTGCCAACGATCATCCGATGTGTAATTGCAAACCTGAAATAGGTTGCGGCGATAACTGCCTTAATCGTATGGTATACACGGAATGCTCTCCGGCAAATTGCCCAACAAAAGAGAAATGTCGCAATCAGAAAATTCAACGACATGAAGTGGCTGCGGGTGTAGAACGTTTTATGACCGCCGACAAAGGCTGGGGAGTTCGCACAAAGCAACCTGTTGTTAAGGGCACCTACATTTTAGAATATGTTGGGGAAGTTGTAACAGAACGTGAATTCAAAGAACGCATGGCCTCCATTTATCTTAATGATAATCATCATTATTGCTTGCATTTAGATGGAGGGCTAGTGATAGATGGCCATCGCATGGGCAGCGATTGTCGCTTTGTGAATCATTCCTGTCAACCTAATTGTGAAATACAGAAGTGGTCTGTGAATGGTTTGTCGCGTATGGCTTTATTTGCCAAACGCAACATCGAAGAGGGTGAAGAGCTAACATACGATTACAATTTCTCTCTTTTCAATCCTTCGGAAGGACAACCGTGCCGTTGTAATACACCTCAGTGTCGAGGCGTAATTGGCGGAAAATCGCAACGTATCAAACCTTTACCTATTGAAGCAAAGGTGAGTTATATAAGCATATGAATGCGAAATTTATATAAAGAAGCAAAAATATTAGTAATAAATACTTGCTAGTGCCAGATGGGCAAATCTGAAGTGCAGATTTGAGAAACAGATGACGCGCCGATGTCTCGTCACATGCATGGCATTTGTTGCGGCACCAACCAGTGTCGCGAGTGTCTAAGTGATAAATTGAAAAAGTCTTGTCATTGATTTCTTTTGCTCAGATAAAGTTTGCTCGCAGGATTAGTAGCCTTCTTTTTCGCTTTCTTTCTTTTCTGCTATGCTTTCGCATCGTATCATTACCGGAGATAGCAAGTGAATTTATTTTGAGGGTCTCAAGCACAAAGAATTGTGAGTATAGGCAGGCGCACCAGCCACATCGACCGCGCGACTGAATCGCTATGGCAGGAAGACCAAAATTCGGTAGAGTATAGTTTCAATAAATCACTTTGTACCACTCGTCCGATTTAACGCATCTTTTTTTTTTTTTTTTTTTTTTTTTTTTTTTTTTTTTTTTTTTTTTTAAATACCTACCGCCATCGAAAGATAGGGGTATACTCGTGTTGTCATAATGACTTCAACACCCAAAACAAATGGAAGTTTCAGAAATGTTTCAGAATTGATCAAGCTATGTCTGTCCGTCTATGTGTTTGTGTGGTGTATATTATTGTGTACATTCTTCTTGGTCTCAAAAATAACGACTTCAAATTTGGTAGTAACATTAGAAGTTTCGGTACGCAGGCCATGCACACGCCCGCTGTGAAAGCGGAAATTGAACGCAACTCCGTTTTTCTACGCGTTATAAAAGATAGGAAACCGAAATTTTCTGTATTTATTTTACGCAAAACTCTTTTATTTATGGGCAGCCGTGCCCACACAAACTTTTCCCTTTTTTCACCTTTTTGAGGTTTTACGCTTAATAATCGTGTAAGGTAAACAAAACATTTTGTATCTTCCTCGAATGCAGATATATTATCTGCCTGAAAATGCGATCGTTCTAAAATAACTATGATCGACACGACGATGAATGAATAGTGAATTAATTTTTTCGTTACAATATCCTTGATATGGGCATCAAATTAAAGCACCTGGAAAGTAGAATGCAAAAGGCTAAATGTGTTAGTTCCATATTAAATGTCTCGGACGTTACGGCATAGTGAATTAATTTTTTCGTTACAATATCCTTGATATGGGTATCACATAAAAGGACTTAGAGAATAGAATGCGATAAGCTACGAATGTTCTAATTATGCTAAGCTAATTATGGTGGATTGCATTTTTCTTAACATATTTATCCCATTCATTTTTTTTTTTTTGTGATCATAAATAAAGACATGGGGCGGTAAAGACTTTAATGATGATGCGTATAAGAAATGCGGCCGTAGCAGGATATAACTCTCTTACTTGTTTAAAATTCTCCTTTATATGTAAATCCAAAAAAATGCTGTAGAAGGAATAATTTGTATATGCAGCTCTCAGCTTACGCTATATATATATAAAATTAATAAGAACGAAAGAAGGCCAAAATATAATCGTTAGTGACGGACTGCTAGAGATAATCTATTTGACAAGTTTAAATTTTTGCCTTTTTGATGATAGAAAAAATTAATTATTATATAAATTGATTTTTTTTTTACAAGATTTTCCATAAAAATAAACCTTAAGAGATTTGTGATTATTTCACATGAGCAAGATAAATGATGTCTTCTTTGTAGGTTCTATGTGAGGGCGCTCATCATTTCAATGTGTTTTCAAGTTTTCATAATTATCATGTTCAACAGGGAAAATAAATTTTCGAGGGTCCATCATGTCTCTCCTTTTTACCCTTGTCACAGTTCTACCTTTAGGATATAATAAAGGCTGATCTACATTTTTTAAAATTTGTGGTCTATCCAAATCATCCGCATTAATTCCTTACTTGGCTTTTCTTATTTTCAAAGCGCCTTTCATTTCGAGCAACTTTTCTACATTTTTTTTTTTTTTATATATACTTCCGAACTTTACTCCCGTGTTTTCTTTCGCACGCTTCCTCCACGAGTAAAAAGAAGTCAAAAGACAAATGTAAAGAAAGAGTGAAGAGAAGAAAAGAATATGGAATGGAAATATAGAAAAGGGCTAGAAGCTACGAGAGAAAAGTTCATCAGTATTATCCTTCACAAAACAGAAATGCTCGAAGAATTCACTTGTGGAGTTTTAATCCCATTAATACTTACTTAATTAGTACACTAGCAAATCAGTTAATATATAGTATAAATAAATTGCTTTCTATCTAATTATTGCTCAATAAACGAAAAATATTTTCTGTTATTTTCAAGTTTGTCGCTGAGGTTTTGCCCAAGGAAAACCGTGCAAACCGTCAAAGGAAGCGTAAGGCACGTAAAAATACGCAGCGCCAGACTAGTAAAGATGTCAGCGCACCTACACGCATGCAACCTCTCACTGAAAAGGAGAAAAAAATCGTTAAACAATACTCAGTTTTTTTAATTCGTAATGTAGAAACTATACGGCGGCTTAGGAGAAAAAATAAATTCCAAGATGCAAAATGTCAAACTCCAACGAATGTAACCTCGTCTATGACAACTCTTGCAAACTTATCGGTGCCAGCACCTGTAATGCAACGTCGATCTTCCACTCCGGCCATTTTGGCGGCGCAGATTACTGCTCTATGTACCGCACGTAGCATTAAAACACGTGGCCTTACATTGGCAGTACAGGATCCTGAAGTAGAGAAAATGGCAAAAATGGCTAAAATACTCCGGGATATATGTACCTTTTTGGAATCGGTCAAAAATCCTGAAAATCAACAGGAATCATTGATATCCTTAGTATTGCAAAGCGCGTCCCCAACGGGAGGAGGCAATAGGAGGAAAAAATCTTCAATGAAAATTACCCAAAAACATCAACCTTTAGACCTGAAAATCATACAGACGAATATCGAACAAGGTTATTACAAGTTTCCAGCTGAATTTAATGATGATATTAAAAAACTATTTACCGAAGCCAAACAAAATCTAAATTCAGATGAGGAGAGCAAATTGCAAATGTTGGCGTGCCTCGAGAAGGCCTTTGAACATGAGAAATATCAACAGTATGATTCCTTGATGGAAATATTGAACAATGAATATCTATTAAAAGATTTTAAAAAGAAAGATGTATCGAACGAATGTAAGAAGTCGTCCAGTAGCGAAATAACAATCGATAATGCGGACGTAAACAGTAATGAAAGCTCCTTATCATCGGTCACCCAAGGCGCCGTCAACGCCGCTACCTCCAACGAAGACATCATTAGTTGTATATGCGGGCTGTACAAGGATGAAGGTTTAATGATACAATGCTCGCGCTGTATGGTGTGGCAACATACCGAATGCACTAAAGCGGATGTTAATGCCGAAAATTATTTATGCGAAAAATGTGAGCCGCGTGAGGTTGATCGCGAAGTACCACTAGATGAATTTACCGAGGAAGGACATCGTTACTATTTGACGTTGATGCGTGGCAAAAATCTACAGGTCCGACAGGGAGATGCCGTATATGTACTACGTGATATACCGATTAAAGATGAGGTTGGAAATATTTTGCCTTCCAAGAAGCATACCTACGAAACTATCGGTGAAATTGATTACAACGAATGTGATATTTTTCGTGTGGAACGGCTATGGAAAGATGAAGAGGGCAAGCGATTAATATTCGGGCATCACTTTCTACGACCGCATGAAACTTTTCACGAGCCTTCGCGTAAGTTTTACCCTAATGAAGTGGTACGTGTACCTCTTTACGAAGTGGTGCCCATTGAATTGGTTATAGGACGATGTTGGGTATTAGATCGTACAACATTCTGCAAAGGCCGACCTATCGAGTGCACCGATGAAGCGCATTGTTTCATTTGCGAACTGCGTGTTGACAAACAAGCGAGATTCTTTTCAAAGGCAAAAATGAATTATCCTACATGTACGAAAAGTTATGCATTCCGTAAATTTCAAGAAAAGCTACGTATATCGAAAACGTATGCGGTACGTAAAATATTAAAAGTCTTTTTTTGTACGTTTTTTTTTTTTTTTTACTTTTTTTTGATAAAAAAAATTTTTACAGCCGCACGAAGTTAATCCAGCATTATTGAAAACCAAAAAACCGAAAACTGAACGTGATACCGGCAGCAGCAGCAGTATATCGAGTACAATTGCGGATAAATCTACAAATGGTACGAGACACACAATATCAAATTCTGCCTCGACTGCGAGACAAGAGCATAATAATAAAGCATCGCAACAACGAGCTAATACTGCTGCTATACGTAAACGTCAAACTAATAAAAGCCCAGTTACGTCTCTCATGGCTTTAAATCGGGAATTCGCACAAGCCACGACTATGGTAAATGAAAATGATTTTCGTATAGAATGATATTTAAATATAATTTTTCTTCACCAAAAAAACTTTAGTCAATCAAACAGAAACGCATGCATTTGGAAATTGTCCTGAAAGCCATTAAGCAAAAGTGCGACGTAAATAGAACTTCAACTGCAAATGAACCACCATTAGATTTAACTTATCTTCTAACTGGACGTGGTGCTAGGCAACGCAAAACCTTAACGTCATCATTAAATAGTTTGTAAATAGACTACGATCGTCTTGTTGTTGACCTTTTTTATATTCTTTAAATGTTTTTCTTCTTTTTAAATCCATGTAATTTTTTTTTCAATTTATTGAACCGGCAATGATTCCGGCATTTATTCGAGTTCTTTACTTTGTTGATTCAAATTGATGTTGACGCTGATAGATGTATTTGCGGTCACGTCTTTTACATTTTCTGATTTCATAGCAAATATATATCGGTTTGGCGTTTATTATTCATTATATATTAAAAATTTCTAAATTTTCCTAAATTCATTTCTGAATTTTGTGATAAGTTTTGCTATTTTGGTGAAAAAACCTACTGTGTTTCCAATTAAGAGTTTTACAAATTTATTTCATTAAATTAATTAGTTTACAATGATAATAATAACAATAATAATAGTAACGCATAAGGAACTTGTAAGATAAACTTGTGTAATATTATCATCATTACTGTCATCACTTCAATGAAATTAAATTCAGTAAAATATATAATTAATGCATGAAGTAAAAGTACGTCACATCTATTAACTAACTGTAATATAAAAATGCAAAGAAAAATATTCTATTGAAATCTAATTAAAAAAAAAAAAACACAAAAAACAAAAAAAAAACAAAAAAATTTAAATATTGTCGTTCTTGAAAACTTTTCACATGCAATCTGTAATCGCAGACAAATAAACATATATGAGTAAAGCCGGCTTAATACCTGCTCAAGTAAATTTGTTTTTAAAACAACTGAAAACTTTGATTATTATTGCTATTACTGTTATTACTTTTTCTAATTTTTTATTATAATGTAATTTGTACGAACAAATTTTTAGAGAATTTAGATATTGGTTTTTTTTTTTTTTTTTTTTTTTTTTTTTTCTTATTTTAATGATTCTAATATTTCCTTTATTTATTTAAATTCTGTTATGTGTGTTATATAAATATATATATATATATGTATATGTGTATATATATATATATATATTTAATTTAAATAACATATTTGTTTTTTGATTAATTTTTATCTTCTTTGCTATTATTTATTAATATAAAATTTGTTATATATTAATATTTATATTTAAATTTCTTATATTATTATAAAACTACTTAACTAATTTTAGTTAGAGCACTTTCATTTAGTTTTTACATTTACTTTGATTATCTTGTTTTAATGAATATGTTGTTATCCTTCTTTTTTTTTTTTTTTTTTTTTTTTTTTGTTTGTCATTACACTAAAATATTTTTAATAATAGATTTTTCTTAAATAAAACATTAAACTATCACAAATGAAAATATATAATTTCTATAAAATCTCAATTCATAGACTGTCTCTCTCCTTAAAGAAAACTTATTTGTGGATTCAATCCACAATTTTAACTTAAAATTAAAATTCTCACAATTAGTACGTAATTGCGTTAAAACAAATAGTACGAAAACTATAAAAAGGAAGAGTCGAATTATACTCGCGTCTCGTTTAATATAATACAGAGACTAGAAACGGATAATTGAATGAAATGCGTTTTTATTGCTTCATTTTGAAAGCACAAGCAAGCAATTATTGAAATATACATATTGTACTTGTATATAGGTTCATCGGGACGTAAGGAATAAATTGAAACACTTTTATATGGCTTTTTATTTTCAAAGATATAACAATTAATTCGCATAAATATTTCAACTGCTCTCAGTAAAACCAAAAAAAAGATTAGTCTCAGCGAAAGAGAGAGAGAGAGAGCGAGAGTCATTCCATCATTGATCGGGAGGCTTGTTTACAATATGGCGGATGCATTTTAAATAGTCAGTAACAGTACAATGAGTGAAGCGGGAAGTAGCATATAATTCCTGTTCCTTTGCTGCTTTTTTTTTTACTTGCAATAATTGCAAAGGACTAATTAATTCTCCTTGATTGAAGTGTGTAAAGCACTTTAACTTAAATTAAGGAAAAATTGTTTTACTTTTAAATAATATTTCCATGGATTTCTTTCAGCTGACGGCTTTATCAATCAAATTAGACAAAAAGCGATATTGAACAGTCGTATCAGTCGTAGCTCGAAAGATATTAAATAAATTTAACATATTCGTTATGATCGATACTTAAATATTCAAATCGCTGACATATTCATTGTTATTAAGTTTTTTAAAAACTTAGCGTGGATTCAATTTTTTTTTTTTTTTTTTTGTTTTGTCCAATTCCAGCGATAATAATAACTTAATTAATAATTGAAGCATCCTCCCGCGTGGAATGTACATATTTCTCTTCTTTTTTTCTTTATTTAAAATTTGTTGCGAGAAGTCCGCTTTTATTAGGTGTTTGCAAAATTGTGAAAAATTGATACAATACATATGTATGTATGTATGTATGTATGTATGTATGTTTGCGGCTTTTTCTGCAACATTTTACAATATATTTGTGATAATAAGTGTTTGGCAGCGATTATTCACCCACCGAACCATTTTCACACTTGTTCAACAATTACGGACCCGCATATCACAGCCAATCAGCCATGCTGCACCGATCTGAACAAGTGGTAATCAGGAGGCGCTTTGTCTGGTAAGTACGATGAGTACGACAAAACTTCCCTTTCGAGCTGCAATAGTGTATTCTGGGGAACTTATGCAACAAGTACCAAAAATATGGCATTTTCAGTCAATTTACTTCACCACTTTTAAACCGTTGAATCCAAAGTCGACAATGACGATATAATGGAGCAGCGTCACCCCATAAAGCTTTGAGCGTGTTTGATGGGTTTCTGCAGCAGATTTCTTCAAATAAACGACAAAATTAATGAGTTTGGAAGAAGAAGAATTTTGACCGCTGCATGATTAGCGTCGGCGTACGCTGAATATATCAAGAATATTAAATGGAAAACTCTTACTTTATATAGATGAAGATCAAAAGCAGGAAATTCAACCGTTAGGTACATTAGTATTTTCCCATTTCTTAAACATTTTTACCTGTAGAAGTCGCTGATCAAAATTTTTGCAAACACCTAATACCAACATTGCTTTCAATTGCAGAGAAGAAGTAAACTCTTTGAAAAGTGACTTGTAACTGACTAAAATCTCTCTACCTTCTCTTATATATATATATATATATATATGTACATTTATATCTAAGCGATTACGACTAATTCGACTGAGAGGGAACTTTTGTTATCCGATTTGACTTTGGCAAATCATTTTTACTTTCTTAACGCTTGACGAACGAGTGCATTTTCTAAAAGCAATGATCAGTAGTAGGTCGAGCGATTTCTAAGAAATGAAGTGCTTTATTGCCGGAGCGAGAAAAGATGCATAATTAATATCGCTTTATTGGATTTTATGGAAACGTATAGTAATAACAGATAGATAGCACAAATGAACAGAGATGTCCGTACAAAAGGATAGAGAAGTGAAAATTTCAAAAAAAATAATTGGACTTGAAATAAGCGAATATATATGCGTGCAAGTAATGTATAAATTTGTACACATTTATAAATTTATTTCTTAAAAAAAATTACTTATATCTTTTTATGGGTATGTAAGTTCTTCAAACAGTCGTCGCCTATGTGAAGAGCAAGTCTTTTTAGTGCAATTATCGCAATAATTACGTGTTTTCCGCCTTCCTCTCAGCGATTTTCTATTTTCCCAGGAAAGAGCGCTAGCTTTCTTTGTACCTGTACGAATAACATAAAATTTTCGGTCCAACTTGTCTTCTATTTGTCAATTCGATGAGCGACATTGGGATTGTGCTGGTCTTCTAATATCAGCCCTTAATTGTTCTATCAACATATTTCAAAATTTCAAATACAAAACTGGTTTCCAATTCATCAGTTAAGTACAACTTGAATATATCAATAGACTTAACAATATTGGAAGTACTTTATGGATCTGTAACGTTTGGAGATGCTGTAAATTTTATCTGTTAAATATTATCATCCCGTTCATTTCAAAATTTTCCCATTCGTTTGCGAGGTCACTATCTCGATTTAGATTTTCGTTCTAGCTGAGTTCATCATCAGTATCACTATCCGTAATAGGCGTAATACGTTTCTCTTTAGGAATTAAGTCGCAACCAGGACTGTTGCAATTATTATTTTCATCTTCATTTACTGCATTCATCGAAATTTCTTTTCCAGACACACAAAATTCATCTTCGCTACTAGAAAATTCCGAATTACTACTTGGTACCTGGTACTTGGTGTTTGGTTCTTCAACAGCCCTTTCCTCTGCTATTTTTTTTTTTTTTTTGAAGGCTCTAATTGTGGTTAGGAAAAATAAAAATAGCACGCATATACGCACGACTCCGTTTCACCCTTTTTTCGACGTAATTGGTTGTGGTTGGCAGTTCCTAGCCAAAGTGGAACAGTCGAGTGCAGCTAGGCCTCACACTAACCAGAGTGACGGTTCATACGGCCGTACACGGTCAACCATCTGCGCACTTAGGGGATTGTCTTTCCCCCCCGAGGGGTGATTACTCAACTCAATTGAGTGCCTATAGGTTGTAGGCAAGCCGTCTGATTAAGGCATCAAGCCAGGTGCAGACGTTAAACACCCAGAGCGATCTGTTGCATGCATTATTAAGACTGAACATGACAGATTTCCTGAAATATGATGACATGACGCCTGTACATGACGGCGGCGTTCGTGTATTCGTTAAGGGTTAAAAAACTGGACATATTGGTGCTTATAGGTATCTTCTTTGGCAAATCCATGTAAGATGGAATATTCTTAGGCAAAATTTGTATGCTTTCACCTAATTAAAAACAGGTAACATAACATGTTTTTAATATTGTTATTTTAACTTAAATAAACAAGAAAAATCTTGAAGAGAATTTCTATTTGCGAAAACTTTGGCTTGCCAAGAAAAGCTTTGATAAACTTTAAAATGGTTCGAGTACTGAATACTAAAATAATTTTCAATGTTTCCGTTCAAGCCGTTCAAGTTGCGAATACATTTTGACGGAGACGAAAAAATAAGTACGACGTGGCGTCTGAAGCATGCAGCGTTATTTACATGTTAAAGATAACAAAGGGGAAAAAAAAAAACAGCATTTTTATGGCTATAGAAGATTCGTTTAAATATGTAACTGTAAACTGAAGTTTTAGCGAATTTTATATTACAAATATTATGTTTAAACAAATATGCCTTACATTTAGCTTAATGTAAGGCATATGTTTGTCTTTCAACTGCAAGGACCAAACAGGCGGTATTAAGTTTGATTTGATTTCAACTTTTTGTCTTTCTCCTACGCGATGAGAAGTCAAAGTATACGTACACACATTTATGCCTTTTGGTAAACATCAAAAAAATTGAATTTCATGCAACCAATTTGGACATGTTATGCAGGAAGGTCGTAAATCTCTCCGTTAGTTGATCAAAAAAAAGCTTTTAAATTCGATTATTATAAGTGAGTTAGTTACACTTTGCAAACATACTCTAAAAAAGCATTTCTGCACTGTCAATCCGTCAAGCTAACGGCAAATAATCGGAGATTGTCCTAACAGCATACAAGTGCTTAGTCTGCTAAAAATAGGATTTTAATTATTCGGCGCCTAGACCTGTATTGCTGGGCTCACACTCCCAATACATATTCATATTCTGAGAGTCATTTCCGCTGAACTGCGTTTCTCTGAAAGAGCTCTTGCTCTATGCAGCCACGAAATTAATTACAGGATGCATCATAAGGCTTTTGCTATACCAAAAATTGACAGTCTAAGTGATGAAAGCCCGTTCGTCTACACAGCTAGCTACGTCATATATGGCACAAATGGATCATTTGGCCGCAATATGTCTAGTTTCTCGGTTATAGAACGTCGGTCGAATAGCGCATACAATTTTAAAGGGTCTAAGGTATTATATTCGAATTTTTATTAAGAATATCTGACATTTTTGCACGTCGTAATACCAGTGAATTCCGAAAAGATTTTACTAACAGCATCTCTGATATCCTCATAATCAATACGCGTTTGAGATGTATAAACGTGTTTGTTACGTGCTCCCCCGCCAGATTACTGTAATTTCAGTTTAAAGGAACAAATCGTCTTTTATGAACCGAGAGGACGGAGTGAGAAAACTAACTCTGAAGGTAATTTATACGGATTGAAATGCTTAACGTATAGCGAACTCTTACTATATCTACTGTCGCGAACGAGTCAGCCGTTTAAGTAAGATAGCAAGTTATATTCCTCCAAACGTAGCAAATTGCAGTGGGCTGATCAATTGTTTGGTTATGTTTAATTGCTAAGGGAACGTTTTTTATATCTATTCCTGGAAGATAGAAGCACATTTATTTTGACGAGACTTTCGCAAAACATTCAGAAGAAAACTTCAAAGACTCCATAATGCGTTCATATTCCTGATTACCATAAAATTCTGAATCAATTTAAGTATGCTCGTCTCGGTAATGTCTTTGGTGGACGTTGCCCTCGCCATAAGAAAACATATTATTATTATCATTATTATTATTATTATTATTATTATTAATTTCGCCAGAGAAATAAATTCTAAGACTAAAATCTTAAAAGCACTAGCATCTAAGGCTATCGGCTTTTATTAAAAACTCTACCGCGATTGAGATTCGAACCCACAACCATTGACTTGCTAGTCGAGATTCCTCGCCTTCGGCTACTCAGGCGGATTAAAAGAAAAAAAATATAATCTCTTGCATGCAGGTTGGTATTGACAATGGATTAAAGGACACGCCTGCAGTGCAACGTAAATCGAGAATATCTTTGCTTTCTGGGCGTTTTTTCGCTTGTTACTTGCTATGCGAAGACAATAAAAAATTTCGCACATGTTCTAGAAAAATGGAAAAATACAGCCACGCGCAGAGTAAGGAAATTTCTTTTTCCGTTTTCTTAGGATAAGGATGATGGGTATATAGAGGATTCGCTCGCAACTGAATTCAATTTTCTTGTTTTGCATTTTAGTGGTATTTAGAACGGCTGGAGCGAGGGCTGTGGCTGTTTTTTTGTAGCTAATAATGGAAAAAATTCAATGTAATAATGTATGTCGGCCAGTGATAGTATGAAACAGTCAATATATTTATGTCAAGAAATGTTTTTTCAACTGTCAACTGCTCTGCACTTGAACATGAAATCAATCCTAATCAATTGCTCGAATCATTTTCAAATAACTCAATCCCGAGGATAGCTGTATATTTCATTTCTTATTGAGTCGTGAGTGTTTATTCGAAAGTAATTGTTGTGACATTAATTAAACTTAGTACAACATAAAACTTTTCGAATGGGATAGTGAAACATTACTGTTGGGGAGCGTGGTATTCGCTTTCTCGAAAACGAAAAGTACAACTGCAGCAGATTTTCTCACGTATGGATGCTACTTTGGAATCGAATAAGAACTTGATAAGTACCAGCTTTATCAGTTCTTCAACTGTTGGAAGAAAAACGCTATCAGTCAACGGCACATGTCGCTCGAGATAAATAATCGATCTTAAGCATTGTGCGGATAGAAATAACAAACAAAATATATGAAATTTTTAAATTTTTTTTTTGCTCAAGCGTTTATCTTCAATCACGGATACTCAGCTGATTCATCTTTCTGTCTTATGGTATTCCTAGCTAATTTTTATACCAATGTTAAATTGTAATTGTAATTGAAATATTTCTAAATGAAAACTTAATACATTTTGTTCTTCTCTGCCTTGATACTTCAATTTGGTTAATAAACTTGCTCAGGGTAAAAGTGTAAATAAAAAAAAAAAGGAAGCATTTTGCCCCATTGTGTTGTAATAAATAAATAAACATCTGTAGTTCAGTTATTAACTGTCAAAATCGGATGTCTTTTGTTTATTTTTTAATCAAATGTCAGAAGTGTCGTATCTGCATCTAGTGTGTGGTTCTTGCGAATAATTTATTTTATGAGATTCGATTTGTGAAAAATATTAATTTCATACAAACGTAGAAGAATTTATTTTTTTTGCTCGCATATTTTGATACTCAGATGAATTATTATTCGCTCGTTTAGCGATATAATACCGTTAACGTGAAGGCGGGGCTGTACACGTCATCGAAAAAGCAGCAACTGGTGCATGTGAAAAGAATTGATCGTTCATGCAATTACACAAGTTAATGAAATATAATAAGAAGTAATTGGGGTAAAATAAAGTTAATAAAAACAATAAAAAAAATAAAAAGTTGAAGATGAGCCAGCTAACAGAAATATTAAGAAAGGAATTTCCAGCTATGGACAATGAGCTTAAAGAGTATGTGGAAGGTGGGTTAACGAATACTATTCTCATTTGTATTTTTGTAATTTTAAATGTAAATATTAATGTAACGGGATAATATAGGAGTCTTGGCAGGCAGCTTGGACGATTTTGAATCCTGTGATGATATATATGATGCGGTTGGCGATATACTGCAAAGTATTAATAGCGAAAAAACGGAAGATAATATACGCGATCTTTGCAGCCAGTTTTACAACATTATGAAAGTTAGCACTAAAAATGTCGAGCATAAGGTATTAAACGCGCCCGTTAACATAGCCGAAATGGCGAAGAGTATGGAATCCAAAGATAAGGATGTGCAAAGTATTTGGGTGGTTAATAAGGATAATATAAATGTGCGTAAAATTAGCTATAAAGAAAATTTTAAATAATAAATATTTGTCTTTACGTTTATTAGAAGGTCGATTCCAAAAAATTAGAAAAAGCTGAAGCAAAATTGCAACAGAAGCAGGAGAAACGACAAGATTCCACCAAATATACAACAGCACCAGTGAAATTACAACAAGCTACCGCATCACAAGTAACAAATAAAAAAGCGATCAAATTAGATGCCAAAGGAGTTAATCGCTCGATGGATGTGAAAATTGAAAACTTTGATTTAGCTTTTGGTGATAAGTAGGTCTAGTTCATTAAATATTAATGGGTTTCAATTAAAAAATTCCATGTTTGCAGAGTACTACTACAAAATGCAAATTTAGTGCTAAGTTTCGGTCGGCGTTATGGATTAGTAGGCCGCAATGGCTTGGGTAAAACCACATTATTGCGAATGATTTCAGAACGTCAACTGCAAATACCTTCGCACGTTACCGTCCTTCATGTCGAACAGGAAGTAGTGGGCGATGATACTGCGGCTGTGGACAGTGTACTTGAATGTGATACAGAGCGAACACGTTTAATGGTTCGTGAAAAAGAAATTATGAATTTATTGAATATGGGCAATCAAGATGCCGCCATCAATGCAGAGCTTAGTGGAATATATGTACAACTACAAAACATCGAAGCTGATAAAGCAGTGGCCCGAGCTTCGGTAATATTGAAAGGACTCGGATTTGATACTGCTATGCAGCAAAGGCCAACAAAATCATTTTCAGGTGGTTGGCGAATGCGTTTAGCTTTGGCACGTGCCTTATTTTCTAAACCCGATCTTTTATTGTTGGATGAACCCACCAATATGTTGGATATTAAAGCTATTATATGGTTGGAGAATTATTTACAAACTTGGCCAACCACCCTCCTGGTGGTATCGCACGATCGCAATTTCTTGGATACCGTACCCACCGATATAATACATTTACATTCCCAAAAATTGGAAGCTTACAAGTATAAATAATTCAATATTTTGATAATTTAAATAATATACATGTTTATTCTCAAAGGGGTAACTATGAACAGTTCGACAAGACGAAAACGGAAAAACTTAAAGCCCAACGTCGCGAATATGAAGCTCAGATGGCACACCGAGCTCATGTTCAAGAATTCATTGATCGTTTCCGGTACAACGCTAATCGTGCAGCATCGGTCCAATCAAAAATTAAAATGTTGGAAAAACTGTAAGTGATATCTAACTTTTCTGATTTGCTTCAAATTACTAATACTTTTGTTTTCCTTGCCTGCGCATTAAGTCCGTCGAATATCTGTATTGTGCAGATCCTCAAAGTAGACAAAGTCTCGATTAGAATGAGTAGCACAATTGATTTAGTCGTGCCCCTCTAATCGCGATAACTATATAAAACTAAAGCGCGCAGACATTGCTTGCGTTATGCGCTGTGGTATGTGTCGATCGTAAACTATCAAAGCAAAATTAAGTGCGCGTATTTAAATTTAATTCAACATGTAGCTTGCGTTGCGTTGCGTTGCGCGTGGACAGTCAAAACATACGACATCTTTTGATATCTTTATAAAAACGAAACAAAGCCATGAGGTTTTATGTGCTGTGAAAAACAATCGAAAAGAAAAAAAAATTAAATAAAATTAAAAGTTAAATTAGACTAAATAAATTGCAAAAGTTATCTTTCAAAGCAATTTTCTACTTCATCAATATGTTATGTAAACAAACTTTAGTTATAGGATTTTGCTTTGGCAATGCTCGCAAGCTATGTGTTTAAGCGATTTTGTGTGCATTGTGTTTTACGCGTTTAAGGCCGCAACATCGCAATCCACAGGGTTAGGTTCTTTACATCACGTCGCGTGAATCGTACTGCTTAAGTGCTCGTTCCTGTGCGGGACGTTCGCATACATTTCGTTGCCGTCACATAACAAGAAACAAGCGTTATAAGCCCCAGAAAGTGTATAAATTATTGGCCAGTTTCCAAATTGGTATAGCATTTAAGGCATGTCCGTCCATTTATCCATGCACTTAACTGTATAGTATCTGTAATACACATTCTCCGCTTCGCAAAGAGGTACAAAAATAGAAAAAACCATTCCCGTCCAATGATATTAATATATTTTCCTTTTCTTCCGCCTTCAATAGGTTAGTGGATATAGGTACAAAAGGTTCGGTCGCAATCGAATGTGACCTTCTTATTTTTATATACCACTTATGGTATAATACAACGGTATATTAAGTTTGTGCACACACAAAGATTTAGGAAAAACCCCACCTCTTTTTCTACTGCATCGATCTAAGCTTATCTATCCGTCCGTCTGTCGGTTTGCTCATGTATGTTTGTGTTCAATCTAAAATTTTTGAAATATTTTGATGAAATTTGTGCAATCAAATAATTTGGCTCAAGAACGAACCTTATTGAAAATGGTTCGGATCGGACGAATGTTTCGACCACTTCCGATATAACGCTTTATTTTGAAAAGTCGTTCTATAAATAACTATAGCGTAGTGTATGTTATGTAATGGTGAGCCGTGGCACACTATAATGATTATACTTGATTTATTTTTAATCAAGGGCTGGATATAAAAAAACATTAATACAAACTGATTATAATTTCTTTTCATTTATGTTTAAGACCCGAATTGCAACCGGTGGAAAAGGAAATGGAAGTCAAATTAAAGTTTCCTGATGTTGAACCATTAAACCCTCCTGTTTTAGCTATATCAGAAGTCGAATTTCGCTACAATACCGAAGATCCGCTGCCTATTTTTAGTAATGTCAATCTTTCCGCTAATTCAGATTCGAGAATATGCATTGTAAGTATCAGCAGAGAAGAGTGAAAATTTTTGCAACATTTTATAGTTTATTTGATTAGGTAGGTGAAAACGGTGCTGGCAAATCAACTTTATTAAAAATCATTGTTGGTCAGCTGGCGACGCCTATCGGTAATATAGTATCCCATCGTAGTCTACGCGTTGGTTATTTCGCTCAACATCACGTCGATCATTTAAATATGAATCAGACTTGTGTAGGAGTTTTGTCTGAACTATTTCCAGGTCGGCCCGATGAGGAATATCGTCGCCAATTGGGTAGTTTTGGCATATCCGGCAATTTAGCTTTACAAAGCATAGCTAGTCTATCAGGAGGGCAAAAATCACGAGTAGCTTTAGCTAAAATGTGCATGGGTATTATGCAAAAAATTATATACATATATATATTTCATTTACTGTGACTTGTTTTTTTAGCTGAACCAAATTTTTTGGTCCTTGATGAGCCTACAAATCATTTAGATATCGAGACTATTGATGCTTTAGGTAAAGCCATTAATGCATTTAAGGTATAGTTACAAGCCATTTGAAAACGATTCATATTTTAACTTTCGTTTTATATATGGTAGGGTGGTGTCGTCTTGGTTTCTCACGATGAACGTTTGATTAAGGTTATTTGTAAAGAACTTTGGGTCTGCGGTAGTCGTACGGTACGTGCGGTAGAGGGTGGACTCGATGAATATAAACGCGAGGTATACAGAGAAATCGAAGCCACCAGTTAATTCTACATAATGCAGCCCAAATTGGAAAGCACATGATCGCCTATTATATCCAAGAAGATACAAATGAATTGAAAAAATAATACAACAAAAGAGAGCTTATATTCGGCTTGATCCGAATCTTTGACACCCATCCCGTATGATCTTTGTAGTGTCTATATAAAACTTCTACGGATAACAGACATTCTCTGTTTTACATTATCACAAACCGTACTTTGCATACGCATATTGAAGCAGGATTATTCATATTTAATTAGTTTTTTTGCGAAGCGTACATTTTTGTTGCATATAAAGAGGTCGGTGAGTGAGTATGCTATTCGATATTTATATTTGTTATTAATTGATTATTAAAGCATATAATTAGTTCTAATAGATAGATCTATGCTTTCGATTCAACGCAAAGTGAAATATAAAGTGAGATACGCAAGACGAGAAATCAAATATGAATTATAAAAATAGTAGAAACGATTGCTTGATACCGTCTTCTTGTTAGCGGCCAATGTGCAACAATAATTGTAAAATTCTTTCTCATAATTTTTTAATTAACAAGCTTAAAGGCGATTTTAGTAATCTATTAATAGGGGCGTGTTGGTAGGGCGAGGTTTTTCTCTTTTGAAATCAATTACGAATATGGCTTACTCTTGTGATTTTGAAATACATGCACGTATATTATAAACGGAATAATAAGGTAGATATACTTTTGATCATGTGTATGAAGGTTCTTTAGTTACTAAAAACTATTTTTGTTATCGGAAGAACAATTAGTTAATGATGTGATTGCCATGTTGCAAGTGTTATATCGTATGAAGAAATTACCAGAAGCAAAGAATTTAATAGTCACACACAAAGACATATTTTTGACGACTAAAACACTATTATTTTTTTAATCACATAACCATAATTGGAAACACATCAATAAAATATACATATATGTTCACCGGACTTTCTTTCCTTTTCTATTTTTTTTTTTTTTTTTATATTCAATAATCAAGCCCGAAATTTTAAGGTAATTTTGTGTCACAAAAGAGAAAACACAATACCGTCTTATCGATCCAAAATCGAAATATTCTTACGATCCATTGCCATTTTTCATCTTATGAATTTTCATGAAGATTACTTGGGTTTTCTAAGAAACTAAATCGTAAAGAAGGGGGAAACCTGATACAATTTCATGAAGCGTTACCGGTGTCATCCAGCTGTAAATGGATTAACAGAGTAGCGGATTAAATATATCCAGATGAACTTAGGTAATGATAACATGCGTACAAAAGGGTTAACAAAACGGCACCTTTGCAGACGTCAAGAAGGGTTAATTAAATCAAGAGAGTCGAGTTGCGATATCAAAGCGAATTAAAATTGTAAATAGATATCACAATTCAACGGTGCGGTCTTATTGCGAAAGCAAGTTGAATAAATTATGTAAAATTCTTAAAGGACGGATTTACGCGACAGTATCCGTTTTGGTAAACTCTATTTGCCAATGCAAATTCATCGAATCATCTTGGGATTACTTAATTAATTTAATACCTTCGTTATATCATCCATCGTAGTAGAGAACTTTCAAAATATTGAAATAAATTTGTTCGAGGACATTTACAGTTTGCGAAGAGCAAATGTCCTTGCATTTCATTTCACAGTTTTAACCACAGCGTTAACCATTTAAACTGTATGTGATTATGTATAAGCTAGACTCATCTTATTTATTCCTTTGCTCAGGCAAAAACAAATTTAATGACATTAACATTATTATATTAACGGTATATATAAGGTGCGTGCAAGTGTATGTAACATGCAGGAGGATTTGCTGATGGACCCACCATTTATAACAACAATCAATTTAGGATCATTATATGAATTGATTTGATGGCGTCCGTCAACTCGTCTATCTGTCACCTTATGTATTGCGGCTTCAGCAAGCCTCAATTTTGAGATGTTTTGAATCCAAATTTGGTACATCAACGGATTAAAAAATTACGGAATCTATTAGAAATAGATGGGAGCAAACCACATCCAGTCATTATAAATAAATACATTCTGCCAGTCTCAAGAGTCTCGGCAGAACTTGCCCGCCCCCGAACCAATCGAAATAATATTTCTTCAAAAGCTCGCTTTTCAGATTTTCTATTATTTTATAAAATATATAATTTTTTGGTTAAATTCCCACCACTACATTGTTAGCAGTCAAATTGTCCAAAGTGTTTATTGATCGATCTTTCTCCTTTATAGCATGTTAATTTGTTTGCATAATACAAGTCGTTAACTCCAAAATTTTTATTTTTTTTTTTTATATTCCATACACCACAAAAGGTATTTATTTTATTGATTATATATATTTAGAAGAATATAAACACAAAGAAGGTCCCCTATGACCATCGTAAACAAGAAACGTAAAGAAAAATGATATTGAATGGGATTGCAATATATCCAATTAAACTTTTGCAATGCCAATAACACCGCAGCCAATACGTGCCCCAGCATTTCCAGTTGACTTGCTCAACTCGTGTCCGCCTTTACCCAAATCATCTTGATCAGCATGGACAACCAAGGTGCGTCCTAAAATACTGTTTTCTCCAAACAATGAAATTAGGCTATCACTTATATTAACCTGAAAGCGAACAATAATTTAAGGAATTAGATGGATGGGAATGTTCAAACTATATTACCTTTGTAGGTCCGCTACCATTTGACTCAACATTGCCCAAATCACCGATATGGCGCTCATCATCAGTGGGTGCTCCATGCTCTTTTTTGCAAGGATTAAAATGCGCACCGGCAGAAGTACAGCCGTTAGTATTGTCCCCAAATTCGTGAACATGAAAGCCATGTAATCCCTTAGATAATCCATTTATCTCTCCAGTTACTTTGACCGGCGCACACTCATCCTACAAGTTAAAGGTAGAAAAAAGTTCGAGAGTCGAAATCAAAACTTTTCGGAATAATCAATCAAAATGATTTTTCAATGATTTCAAGAAAAATTCGCAAAGATTATCTATTGTTATAGAGTTTTTAATTTATGAGAGTTTCGCGATATTTTATTACAATGTAAATTGTGCTCCAAATTTATAATAACCATACGACTGATATTAATGCAGCAACAAGATACCAAATAATTTTCCTCAATTTCATGGGTAATGTTTTCAGATTTAAACGCAAAAACTTGAATGGAAACTAATTGAGGCAGATTCATTGTCAAAAAGCTTCTCTTTAAATGTCACCGCTAACAGTAAATTGTGAAGAGGAGTAGAAAAATGCTAATTTCATCCAACCACGCATATATTCTCGCTATCTTAAAAAAAAAAAACGAAGTAAGCAAGCAACACTAATACTTTTTTTTTGCAATTCACAGAAGCTACACATGACAGATGCGCTTGAGTAAATTATTCAAAAATAATACATAATGTGAAAGAGCTGCAGGAAATGATATCGTTGAGAGTGACCAAAAAACGGTCAGACCTTCTCGTGAAAATGTCAGAAGTGAGCTGCGTCCCTAAAAAATTCCTCTTCTCCTTTTTACCCAAAACATTCCGGTCATCTTACATTATAGGATCTTCCTTATAGAAAAACGGAGGTTTCTTATTTCCCGTATATTTTAGATAAAGTTTATTCTCTGTGACATTATGTCTGTATTTCGTTTGCATTTCAATATCATTTTTTTCCTTTTACGACATTCTTGTTCCAAACTCTTTACACTCTTCAGGGCATTAGAGAAAAGGGGCAGTATAAGCTTTTACAGAACTTTTTACTCACGCTTTGCCATCGAGCATTTCGTACAGATAGGCAAAATTGATTCTTGTGTGGTTTTGTCTTCCTTATTAAGAGTAAATCCACAAAAAATAGTAATTATGCAGATAGATATGGACAAAAAAGTCTTCCAACAAATGAAATATGCTACAAAAAATCCGCTTTGTTCTTAATCTTCTTAATTTTGAAAATCAGCCAATTCGGCTCATAAGCTCGCCCTATTATTGGAAACTTCTAGAACGTATAGATCTAACTCTTTTAATTAATTTCACAACTATCTATTTTTGGTGCACCTATTTTTCTCTCTCAAATGTTAGATTTTCCTCAAACTATCGCTTTGCAAATTTTCCGTTTCCACGAAAAAATTAAAACTATAGGCAATTGGCACAGTCATTAATAATCAAGTTTACGCAATTCAATATGAATGCCGATAACAGGTTGACCTGATCGTCTGGTAATCTTTGCCAACATATTTCTTAACGTATCACATAATTGCAATACAATGTAAGACTTTAAAGTAACCATTAAATTATAATTACGCTTAATAAGACATATATATATTTAGCGTGAAGAAGCACTCCTTACATTGTGGTTTTAGACAGACAATTGGTATAAGTTTGCAAGCCTTTAATCTTCAAAGTCTTCATTGCCCTAAAAAATCTCCATACAAATGTGATTTCAGTTAATTAGTTTCCCAAGCCTCTCGGGAAATTTACAATTATTGAAATAAAAAAGATAAAATCAATAATCAAATTCCTGTCAATTTCAAAAGTTAATGACGATTTATTTCTCTTTTAATTTGCCGGCATATATATATACAAAAATACATTTTTGACCTTCACCCTCAAACTCAAGTGCTACGCGCTCATGAAATCGAAAGATTTTCAGGAAAAAATATTTTTGGAAATTATTTAAGTTTTTTTTCCTTTTCTCGATGTTAAGTTAAATTAGACTACTTACGTTTTGTTCAAAAAATATAGTGCCCTTGGCATCGCCGTTTATAACACATACAGCTTTAGCAGGCATTTTTTCTGATAAAAATTAAAGAGATTTTTACTTTTTTAGAATAATTTTATAAGATGGAATGAACGACGACCTTTTTGCGGTTAAGTGAAAAAATCAATGTGATACCAGCATTAACAACATTACTTTTTTGTAATTATTTTATATAGGGAGAAAGGAATACGGATAGCAAAACTCTTTTTTGGGTATTTTTCTGAATGTTTGTTTCTATTACCTCGTAATATATTTCTATTACTGTAAAAGGGTAAAAATAATAAAACTTATTTCAAAATTGTGCAATTTCGATGCCAAATATTTTTTGGAGCCAAAAGGTAAAATTTTTGGAAATCGAAAAATTTATGCTGTTTTTATCCGAAGTAGAATGTAAGCTTGCGGGAGCATAAAATGAAATGTTGTATTTATGTTTTTATTTATTAAAACATGTAATTGTACATCTAAAATTGTTCTTTTCATATGTGTATATTAATAATATATATATATATATATATTAATTTTTATTGAATTGTTTGGAGTAATCAACACTGCGAGAATGATACCATAAGAAGTCATTTCCATTTTGGAGTTAAAAACTTCCAAGTGGTAAACACAATGGGCAGCCGAGGTGCCATGTTGATTTACAGCAAAATGTAAACAAAAGCATATAGTTTTAGGATCAAAAATAAAGAAAACAACAAAAGAATTAATAAAAGATGATAATAGACAAGTTAATATAAAAGTAAACAAACTTATTGATTAGGTATATAGACGTATGTATTAGACAAATTTTTGTGTATTAATTGAACCATAATTTAGAAATTAACATTTATCGCTTTCTAATAAACGGTTTTTATTGTTGTTGTCACATAATATAAAAAGAATGAAAATTCATGTAAGATAAACATAAATTAGATAAATAATTTCTCAAATTCAATGAATTCGTGCAAAACCATACGATTTGTCAATTCCCATAAAGTTGTATAAAAATTCGGCAAAGTTAAAGTTTCTGCTCGAACATAGGAATAACGCTTGATCGTGTTGGCCCCCTAGCGGCGAGAATGATTTTTTAGCACCTATAAGTAAAAGAAAACAAGAACAAATTGAAGGTATGACTTTAATATTGTTTTCTAATTTTTTTATTATTCGATCTTATTGTAAAGGTAGTCATTGTTTTGTTGTTATCGGTTGTTCTGAGATCTTAACATTGTAACATTTTATTCAACAACAACAGCAAATACAAACAATATTTTGCGGTCAATTAAAAGCATTTCATTCAATAACATTATATTCAACAACATTTTATTCAACAACGTTTTATTCAACGACATTTTGTTCCACAACAGCAACAAATACAAACAATACTCCTCTCGGTCATTTAAAAGCATTTTATTCAATAGCTATAAAGAGTTAGAGGGATAACATAGACAATAGATGATTTTTGATATGGGAAAACAGACTTTAGAATTAATATATACTCTCTACTATATAACAATAACTGCAAGTTATGAACTAGCAGCTGTGGCAGCTGTGGGAAATATGGCTAACACAGTGCTAACGTCTGAACAAAGTATTTTAGATAATGTTGCTTGTGCAAAATTGAAGACGCTGTGTTCAGATCTCGACGGTGCTGATAATTTAGATATTTTGGAATGCATTGGCAGTTTTACTACCAGCAAGTTAGAGGCTTTGCCCGACAAGTGTCACCACGCTGTTTGGCAAGAAACTTTATCGTTTCTTTCCACCAAATGGATAAAAGACCATCTACTCTCAAAAGAATGCGTAAAAGAGAATAAGCAATTCGATTTTTGCATCGAGAAACCTGATGTTTGGAACTGCATAAAGCAGCGTTCAGAAAAACTCAGTCACGACAGTAAGTGCCGTGTTTATATAAAAAGAGTTCTTGCCGTTTTGTTTCCAGACTACGAAAGTCTGAGTGATTTTTTTAATGCTTGTAGTACGGAAATTCAACAGCTCGCCTGCGGTCGTTTGAATGTAGAATATAAGAGCATATCTCAATTAAAAACCGTACAGTGCTTGCAAGAGAATGGAGCTGAAATAGTGGAGCAGTCGTGCAAGGCTGCCATCTCTCGTATTGAACAGCAACACGCAGACCTGTTATTTTTTGAAATTTGTGCGCAAGATTTGCAACGTTTATGTCCACAAGAAACCAGCGGCACGCCGAGCGCTTTCAAGTGTTTAGTCAAAAATAAAAGCAGTTCATCGATGACACGACGTTGTACAGAGCAGATAACTCAAAGAGATCGAGAAATTGCGCGAGATTATCGTTTATCGCATGGTTTGGCAAAAGCTTGTAAGGAGGACATAAAACTGAATCATTGCAGACGTGGCGTTTCCGAAGATAAACAGGTGCGCTTGGCACAGATATTACTATGTCTAGAATCAGTAGAGAAGAATGGTACCAAAATTGTACCTGAGTGCCGCGCAGAAATCGATGATCATCGTCGCATGTTAATGCAAGATGGCCAGTTGTCTCCAGAAATGCTTACCGATTGTGCTGATGACATACCCAAGTTTTGCGGAGAAGTGGAAAAATTGACGGCAGTTGATTCCTACGCAGTTTATGGCGTGGAGATAATACATTGTTTGATGGAGCATGCTCGTGTAAAACGAAGAAAAGATCGTGTTACTGCTCAGTGTCAACGCTCCTTGGAAAGCCTTATTAAAATTTCTGATGTCGGGGAAGATTGGCGGGTTGATCCAATCCTAAGAAGAGCTTGTAAGCCAGTGGTTGATTTAGCTTGTCGCGATACAGAAGGAGGCGATGCGCGTGTTATGTCCTGTCTAATGGAACAGTTAGATACACCTGTAATGAATCCCGACTGCGAGCACGCGTTGCTCCTAATACAATATTTTGTGTCCCGAGACTTCAAATTGGATCCGCAACTATATAGACATTGTCGTGACGATGCGATTAAATACTGCAGAGCCAAACGTCTTTGGGATGATGTCCTTGATGCTCAAATGGATCCCGAAAGGGGGCCATTAATTTTGCCTTGTCTACATCGCATTGCTTACAGTGACGATACCCAAATATCATTACGTTCTGACTGCTTCAAAGAAATGAAGCGTGTTATGCGCCAGAGGGCCGTATCAGTCGACTTAATTCCGGAAGTCGAAGACGCATGTATTGACGACTTGTCATATTTTTGTTATGATCGCACACAAAAGGGCGCCGAAATGGACTGTTTGCAAAATAATTTAGAAAAATTGCAAGTGCCTTGTAAGGTAAAATATTAAAACAATTTATAAATTTTTTATTACAACAAAATTAGTTTTTATTCTACCCATCACATTAGACAGCTGTTTCTGTTTACACGGAGGAAGAAGCTGCCAATGTTGAACTTAATCCTGTGATAATGTCAGTTTGCCCGGAGGCAATGAAAACGCATTGTAACCATATCCTAAAAGGGGGCAAAAATAAAGGTTTGTTTTTATTTATTGGCGATCCTCGAATGAAATGACTTAATTTTATTGATGCTCAGGTGATATGATGGAGTGTTTGATCTCTCATAAAAATGATGTCGATATGCGTCAAAATCAAAAATGTCGTGCAGCTATAGAACATTTTCAAATAATTTCGTTGAAAAATTATCATTTCACTTATAAATTCAAGGAGGCTTGCCGTCCATATGTAGTGCGGTTCTGTGCAGCTAGTACTACAAAAAATGAAGTAGTCGCCTGCTTAAGTGAAGTAATGCGTAATGATACCATACGCGCCCAAAGGCATTCGATACCGAAAGAATGTCGGCAACAGGTGAAAGCCCAACTCTATCAGCAACGAGAATCTTTACTCTTAGATCCCAAGCTAACGAATGCATGTAAAAAGGAAATTGAAGACTTGTGTGCCGATAAAAAGGGCCCTGGCGAGGTGAATAATCCGAATGCAAGTTTTTTATATTAACTTTTTTTTTTTTTTTAAACTACATTTTATTCATATGCATTACGTTTCCATTATGAATCTAATTTTTTTTTTTTTTTTTGCCAAACGTTTATATTTTACTTTTACAGACGCTGGAATGTTTAATTTTGAATACACCTCGTTTGGGTAATACATGCCACCATGCTATATTTTTGATTAAAAAGTCCGAATTGGGCGACAGTGCTACTGATTACACTTTGGTTAACACTTGCAAAGAGATGACGTACAAATTTTGTTCAAAAGAAGAGCCTATGCATTTGCTGGATTGCCTTAAAACATATAAAGACGATCCTACTTTTGATCAACGCTGCCATCTGGTAGTGGTAAATCGAATGATCGAACAGAATACAGATTTCAGGTTCAATCCTTCCTTACAATTGCATTGCGGTAAAAGTATTGATCGGTACTGTTCGGATATAGTAGCTAAAGCACAACCCAACGAGGAGTTGAATGGCAAGGTAAGATTTATTTTCGTAATACTTGCTTAAGCTCCAAAGCTCCGATGTCCAAGGCAGGGAAGTCAGCAATCATTGCATAATGAATTGTATTTTCTTCGATTGTTTACAATTTATAAGAAATTTTTAAGCAAGAGATCTGACATAATTTTCTATAGCGAATTGTAAGCCTCCGGACATTTTATTAATTATTGTCGGTTATAGACATGGGCAAAAGTAATTGATAAAAGTTCATTATTTCTTTTAAGGTGGTGCAATGTTTAAAAGATAAGTTCCGCAAATTTCTGCTCGATGCCGAGTGCTCGCAAGAGATGGTCAAAGTACTGCAGGAGCAAGCGCTCAATTACAAGTTAAATCCGCTTTTGCAAACTTTCTGCAAGCACGAAATTGCGGTGCTTTGCAATCCAGATCGTTACGCTCAAGAGCACGGTCTGGTGGAGGAATGTCTGAAGACAGCATTTCTAAATCAAAAAATCATCAATCGCGACTGTCGCCTGGAAGTAGCTACTTTGATAGCCGAGGCAAAAGCGGATATACATGTCGATCCAATTCTAGAGGAAGCTTGTACGGTTGACTTGTTACGTTATTGTTCAAATGTAAAGAGCGGTAATGGGCGCAGTAAGTTACCAACCAATTTTGTACTATTCATTGTCAAAACTATCAGGTGTTTGCAAAAATTCTGATCAAATAAAAATGATAAAGAAATGGATCGCTACCAAATCATTATATCAAATGCTGGAGGAAATGATAGGAACTATTTTGATTAATATATACATATTGTACTAATTTTCCGCAACAAATGCCTCTTTTACGAGAAACAGTGGTCAACATATTTGCAAACACCTAACAAATAAATAAATTCCTAATGAATACATCAAATAATGACTTTTCGTATATTATATTATAGAACTGAAATGCTTGCAGACAGTTTTGCAAGATCAATCAAAAGCAATGGAAGAGGATTGTCGCCTGAAATTACAGCGACGGATTGAAATGTTTCGAAATGCGGATACAGTAAGTGTTTGGCTTATTTCTGTTTTCATTTTAATTATTTTGCTTGCTGATGATAAATTTCAAAAAAAAATAAATAAATAAAATAAAAACATTTATATAGGTATTGGTTCAACCTCCCGAAAATATGGAACAATTAGTCAATCAAGTAGTCAGCTCACCTGCCAAACGTTTTTTCATGGTTATATTAATGACTGCCGTGGGAATGATCTTCATAATGGGTATATTTTTGGGTCGTATTACCAAACGTGCAATAAACACCAAAAATAAATAATATTTAATTCATAATTACTCTCACAGTGACTTAAGTTTTCTTTATATATATTTAATATTTTTATTTAATTTTAATTTTGTAAAAGAAACTTAAAGTTTATATATTTAATTTTGAGTACTATCGTATTTATTTAGAGCAAATGTTAGTGTACAAGATGTCAAACGTTATATTTGATTAGACTCGAGCATGCAATGTTACACTCTACCGTCGTCTAACATTCTTCACAATCCGCAAAGATAGTGTTTTCTAAACATCAAACCGTTAGATACAAACTTAATCAAATGTTCGCAACGTGCATAAGCATCACACACATATGTGATCTTCATATCATTCATGTGCTCCTATCTGTTGGAATTATGATTATGATTTCAGATAATTTTTTTTTCTTTTACTTTCGTTAGGATAAATTTCAAAAATCAGTCAAAACAATTCTAGCATCCGCGATTAGTAAAAAGAAAACTATAATTGTTCATTTATTGGATGAGTTTTTTGCAATTAACTTTGATCACAAGATCACAAATCCGTCACATTCAATAAAATCTCATATGTGAATATATCATAATTGCTTATGCATGAAATGCATTATCGCATGTGTATAGACGACGTAAGCTAAGCTAAGCTAAGGTCTCTTTCTCGTTTCGAGTAAAAAGCGTTCATAGGAGCTAATCGAGACCAAATTTGCGGTATAGTTGATATCGATTCACGTGTGAGTTCAAATTTTTTTAAATAATCCCCTACAAAATAATCGAATTTTAATAGACATGTATGTAATATTACTGATTTCTTTGAAGAGCTCCTTACATCGCGCTACTTATATCTCTTAAATCCTTTTAATGATAAATATGCAGCAAAAACTATTTCTTCTCTTATCAAGCGAAGGTATTATACAAAATCGTCGTTTCGTTTGCAATAGTCAGTAATTGGGGTGTGTAAACGATTTTGGTAATTATACTTATGATTAAAAGCCCTTCAAACAGAAGTATGCAATATTATCAACTACGTAAGAGAATGTTTACGTGTTACGTGCAGTTAGTATGCATTGCCATATTATTATTGTGCATAAGATGTTAGAAAGATGGAAGCTTCAATAACGAATTCAAAATTTCCATTGAACATCATAAAACAAGTGAAATACCCTACATTGCATTGTTCGAACACAATTCTTATTTTTCCCATAGAACGCACTCTTTTTATATGAACTTACTATTATGAGATTGTATATTAAAAATTAGATACCTTCGCCTGCATTCCGCGAAAAGTCGAGGTTCAAAATTCAGTACAATTAATTTTTATATTCATCACATCACATATTAAAACTTTTCAATTTTTTTTGCCCTAAAAGATGCACATTTTGTGAGATTCAAAAATAGGCATGGCTGGTCCAAATATCGTAGAGTTAAGTTTTATATCAAATTATGCTATTATGAATTAATTTTCATCAGAAGATTGAATACAAGTTTACATGGATGAACATCGAGAGACGTACAGACAGGCTTAAATCGATTCAGAAAATGATTCCGAATCGGAATGTATACATTTGTTTATGTATATGGAAAATTGTCATTGAGTTACCTAAGAAATTGTTAGGGAAGAGAGAGTGGGCATTAAATGTATGAATCACGCAGATGCTGAATGCATCAACGCCATTTATTTCTCTTGCTGAAATCAATATTTTGCAATATACTTACGTATTTATATATACATAGAACTTGTGGACCAAAGTAGTGCGGTCGTATGTAAGGCGCAGAAGGCCTTAAAATAGACCAATCTTTCATTAATTGATCTAAGCGTGTGTGTCCGTCTGATGTCTGTCCATATAAATTTGTGTTGAAGTTACAGGACGCAATTTTAAGTAGTACTATTTGGGCATAGTAATTTCGATGTGAAAACTTTGAACTAGCTGGGGTAATTTTTTGAACACCCTCTCATATAACTGTTCCTGCGGAAACTAAAGCTTTACATGGTAAAAAGATCGGATTTCCAATATATCATTATGAAAATTGGCTCATAATACAAAATTGACAAAGAAGGTAGACACCTTATCGAATTTGGTCCGCGTAGGTCCATTTTTTTTATATACCACCGCATATAAAGGATTCTCATCAAACGCAATCCCTTATATCCCGAAAAGCCTAATTGCTAATTTTTTTTTTTTTGATGAAAATATTCTCATAATGAAAATTAAATGAACAAAAATTAAGCAGATCTAATTCGAATCACATTGATCTATTTCTTTCCCGAATCCATGCAAAGTACCTCATGTCTTCCTAACAATTCATAGAAGCGTTTCCTCAAAAAAAAAAAAAAAAACTAACGGTAGGGAAGTTAAGTTCTTTTTGACCCCCACTTATATAGGCGCTATCATGAAACGCAAACTCTCATATTGGAGGGAATATCGAACCCGCCTGGCCTTTGCATGAAAATAATATGTACTTTTTCGTGTACTATTAGCAAAATGAGCGTATAAATGTAGTAGGCTAACGGGTGTAGGGGATGTAAGGGGCCGGCGTCGCACAAGATGTTCATTTTTTTCCTTCTTCTCGTTTCGTATTATAAGGGCGAAGCCAATTATCAAATTCTCATTTCACTTAAATCCAATTTGCAGTGCAGGCCAAATTTTAATTGTCCGATATCGGATGAATTTTGTTCCCGTTCTAAGTTCAGCAAACGAATAATGTCAACCGATACTTCAGTCCTACTGAACTGATAATAGAATAATTAATATTCCGTGTCAAGAATGGAAAAAAAAAAACAAAGGGTTAAAGGACAATAAAGATAAAATTTATTAGAACAAAGAGGCGAGAAAGAAGGAGGTTCTATCCTTTTCTCGTTCGGCAAATTTTTAAGTTCAATCTTACAATATGACCATTTATTGCATACCCTCAGGAATTTCAGGCTATGCATGCATTCATGTCCATAAAAAAAAGCTAACTATTAACTTGTCTAGATAAGTCATTCATTCCAATTGGGCAGCTATTCCGTTCATTGTCTACCTATCAATCTAATTATAAGTACATTTCACAATGATACAAATGCTTAAATTAAATAAACAAACTTCTCATCAGTTCTATTTATTTATGTATTATGCTTTTCGTTTTGATACGAATTTTTTCCCAAATATCAAACGATACTGTCTTTCATCGGAAAGACACTCACGATCAAATGTTTTCATTTTGGGGCAATCTATTACGTTCACGTTCACGTTCGTAACCGTAAACTCGAAAAACGACAAATTTGGTTTTCTTACGCCCATCACCGAAGTTTGCAACATCTAGAACGAAGCATAAGCCACAAATTATATATATTCTTGATAAGTATCAAATTCTAAATTGATTTAGGCATGTCCGTCCGTCCGTCCGTCTGTCTGTGTAATGTCTGTTGTAAGCATTCTCCTGGAACATTGGACGTTCTTGCACGCAGGTTGATATTGAAAATAAACAAAATCGTTGGGAGGGCACGCCCACAGCATCATGCAAACTGACGACACCTCTGTTTCTTAAACGGAATTAAAAATTGAGTTTTTGTTCATTACTCATAAACTATAACAGATAAATGTACAAAACTTTGAATTCATATTCTATAGGCAATGCTGTAGCATCTGTGCACATGGAAAAAATTGACCACGCGTATCCAATAATATAATGTATTAAAATTTGACTTGTTTTTTTTTTTTTTAATACCTATATAACGCGCAGAAGCAAGATGCAAAAGTCGCATAAAGTTGGCCAGTTATAATTCTTGAATGCACTTAAATATGTCCGCTTGTTTGTCTGTCCATCAGTCTGTTTGCGCAACTTTGTAATATCTATGGTGAGGATTCTCCCGTTAGCGAACATGGAGATATCGCCTACAAATTTGCAAAAGGATTTGAAATTGATCTCAACTTTTCAAAGAACACGCCTACAACCTCCGCCTGCATCTACAACAACAACTTTTATTTTGAAAAAAAAAAAAAAAAGAAATCTACTGTGCCCACTCCACATTATAGAGCCTGGGAGTTTTCTTCTTTTACTTCTTTTGTCTTTTTTTGGGGAAGAGATTTGATCTCAACAGAATTTAATTTTCTTACCTGTTTATATCCTTTTTTTTTTTTTTTTGTTTTGTGATTGCGTGATAGGCGACCTCATCCGATATTGGGCATATGCATTAGCTTTGATATCTTTTTCATGTAGGTGTTTTGTGTATGTACCAAAATTTACCTGACCTGAACTGTTTTAAGAGCACAACTAAGTTTATAGTTACAAATTTTGAAGTTAGGATTATCAGCATTTTTAGTTCGCGAAAAGCCTTTTCTCGGTCCATTCCTTTCTTTAAATTGGGTTCTTCAAAATTATTTAGCATCTCCAACGATTATATATAGATAAACTACATATAAGTAAGCCGGGATCTATATGACTATATGTAATTGCAACGAAATGTTTATCGTAAGTCGCATTTAAAATATCCAATTATTCAGTTAAGCATAGGCTGCTGGCTGATATTTAAGCTAAGCGATTTCTATTTAAAAAAAAAAATTAATTAACTTGTAATAATATCAACTGTATTATCATTTTTGTCGTTTGCATTATATTTGAATAGTTGTCAGTCATTTCAGCTAATCATCATAAATCAGAGAAAGGGCTATATAATTATTATATTTGAAAAAAAAAAAATATATATATATATATATTTTTTTTTTTTTTTAATTTTTAATTTAATTAACAAGGTTCTCTAATGTTTGCACAGTGTAATCCATTGTAAATCAATAAAAGTAGAATACATACTTATTTTTTTATTATAGTAAAAACAAAAATAAAATAATAATAATAATAATAATAATAACAATAATAATAACAATAATAAACGAGAATATCTGTAAATATATATATATTGCATAGTATAACGAATTTTTATGTGAATGAATCCTTAAAATATAATATGTTTCCTGTGTAACTTCTCGTGTTCCGGATCATCAATTGTAGCACTTAGCTCATCAAGGACATTATAACCCAACGTAATGTTATTATCAATATGAAAATATGGACCAAGTTCATCTAAACCCCAATCCGACAACGTGCCGTCAAAATTATATGTAATCGTTATTTAATTTATGATTAAAACTTACCTTCCATAGGTAGAATATTTGGGCCGCCGTCCGTTTGCGGTTTACCATTTATGACAAATGACGTCCATAAATCGACCATTTTCATAGCAATTTTTTTATCATTTTCATTTAGCGAATGCGTTGGAAATAAATATATATTTTCATTGGAATGATGAACGCCACCGGAAAATGGATAATGTTCGTCGCCCAACTCATATCCGAAACGCGTATTAAGACCATCGTAATCAAAACTGTATAGATAAACGGGACCTGAATGCTTCTCTAACATTTTCTGGGCAAACGTAATTGTTGGCGATTTCATAAATGCAATATTTGCTACCTGAAAATGAACAGAAAAGTTGTTCAATGTCAGGTCTTTGCCGGAATTTTTAATAAATATATACCATCATCTTCATAATAATAATATAACGACGCATATATAATATTGCATATCACGATTAATTGGACAAACGGTAAAATGTATTTACATAGTACCCCCCCTCCCCCTCACATTTTTATACCCTACGTAGTATATTAAGTTTGTACGGATGTATACAGCGCCAAAAACGACTTGAGATAGACACAAATTATATTAGTTTATTAAGCTTGTCCGTCCGTCCGTCCACTTTGCATTTTTGTATTTAACTTACAGACCGCAATTTTGGAGATATTTTGCTGAACTTTGATAAACTGGCGTATTTTGGCCAAAGGATGAACGCTATTGAAAATGATTCGGATCGGACTATTGTTTTGGATCACTTCTCATATAATGACTTTTCAAATAAAACCTTCTATTGAGTAAATGCATTAAGCAAAGTGATGTAGGGTATTTGATGATAGGCCCTGGCCGATCATAACGAATTTTCACAGTCAGACATAACGATTTTGTTACACACACTGGTTCAGAGTATATATCCTTACGGAGTTTGTAATGCGCATTTCAATCCGTTACAAAAATTTAAACAACATTTAATATATGTTGCGCAGTATGCGTACACTACGTACTTTCACACACACAATACACACATCGTACGATTCGTCGTTATGCTTACATCGAAATAAGCGGCTAAGGCTCTTAGATGCTGATCTGATTGCCACAAATCTTTTGGAAACAACAGCTTCATCAACAAATTATTCGCAATACCACCGTTATCGTTGATTATGTTGAATAAGCCATTGACAAATTGACGTACCGTAACCTTTGACAGATTGGGTAAGTGTTTCTTCAGGCCATCATAGTAAACTGCATAGTCAAAGATTAGATTCGGAATTTTCATTTCAAAATATTATGTGAACTTACTCGCCAATACAAATGAGCCATCATGTTTGGTGAAACCAGTCATCAATGGTACAGAAACTGTTTTATCCTTATGCAGCTCAAGAGGCTCGTGAGGTATAAAGCCATAATAGTCACCCAAAACAGGACCAAAACATGCCTACAATGCAACAAGAAGTTGAACTACGTACAACATTAAAAAAGATTAATCTAATGTGAATGCACCCATCACCGACGTATGTATAAGGTGTACATTCATTTTGTCAGAGCGTTTGCAACGCCTACAAGGAAGCATTAGAGACCGCACAAGGTATATATATTCTTGATGAGTATGAAATTGAAAGTCGATTTAAGCAGGTCCGTCTGTCCGTCTGTGTAATGTCTGTTGTAAACATTCCCTTGGAACATTGGAAGTGGGCCAAAACGATCGAGGGACACGCGTACGGCATGACGTAAACTGAGAACACCTCTATTTTCCAAAGGAATTGAAAAAGAGGTTTTATGCTCACTACCCAAAAATGAGCAAAATTTTGAACGTATATTCTAATGGGTGAAGCTGTTCCACACTATTATAGTGTATCAAAATTTAATTATATGAACTTCAGAAAGCCCGCAAAATATATAGATTCCTACGCAGTTTCAACTCTTGAATGCACCTAAACATGTCCGTCTGTCCATCTGTCCGTTTGCGCAACTTTGTAGTCTTTGGGTGCGAAAATGAAGATATCGCTTATAAACTTTCAAAAGAATTTGAAATTGATCTAAACTTTTCAAAGGACACGCCTACAATCCCCGTATGCCTTTACGACAAAAATTTTTATTTCGAAAATAGAAGAAATCAACTGTGCCCACTCCATATTATAGACCATAACAATTCTCTTCATCTTGTTTTTTTTTTTCTTTTTTTTTTCTTGTGGGTAAACGATGATGGGTATAAAAGATTCGGTCCCAAGCGAATCGAATATATGCGATTATAAAAAAAAAAAACATTGCATTATGTTGATTTGTAAATCACTTACACTTTTAGTTCCTTCTAATAACTTTGCCACAGAGACGTTGCGCACGCATTTATATATGTCGGTGTTGCTTATGCATTCATCGCATTTCAAGGTATTGCATAAAAACTTTATTTGCTTAATATGATCTTTTCGCACGCCCCATGAGCTAAGAATGGAACCGGATTGTATAATAGAACGATGAAATAGACCCGATGGTGTCTTAGGACTCAATAGTAACGCACCCAGCATGGCAGCTCCGGCGCTTTGTCCAAATATTGTTACTTGTTTGGCATCGCCACCGAAAAACTTTATATAATCTTTTACCCATTCCAAGGCCAATATTAAATCACTAATCGCTACATTGCCTGGTATGTCTTCATTGCTCAAGCTTAAGAAACCCAAAGCACCGATGCGATAATTTGGTACTACCAAAACGACATCCTTCTCCAATAAAAATCCAGCTGGATGATCTTTATTGGAACCGTTAAAGAAACCACCTCCGTATACATAGAACATAACTGGTTGCTGAGCATTGAGCTATGTTAAGATAATAAGATGACAGGAAAAAGTAAAAATCTGCGTAAACATTACTGGAACTTGATCAATAGCTTATATTAAAATCATATATATATATACGCACATCTTTCGTGTACACGCACAAATTTAAACAGTCTTCTAAATCCTCTTTGAGTTCTTCTTCTGCAATTTTATTAACATTCGTGGGACTGGGACAACGTCGTCCATAGTTGGAAGCATTCAATATGTGAGTCCATGGCTTGCGTTTAACCGATAACTAAACGAAAATATTATAAATAAAATATTTATAGGAACAACGTTTAACTTATTACAAATTTTACTTCCGCTTTACATCCGCTTTATATACATATATATATATATGACCAATCACCTGGGTGGATGCCCCTATTCGCATAGTGCGTAAAAAAAAAACGAGAAAAGAGCCGGTTGGTGGCCGCAGTCTGGTGGATGTGTGCCCAATCGATAAGTGTTATGACCACTCACTCGGTAAAGGCATGCAAATGCAAACTCTACCACTTTGAAATTTTAAAACCCGCAAACACTGACTTGGTAGTCGCGATTCTTACCTACTCGGCTGTACACTCGAACACTGGCTTGTCTTACACCATTTCGTCTAAAGCAATTATTCGCTAATATTCTTAATAATACGCCCGAAAATTATACATTATTATACCCTATGCCATTTGTGGTACAGGGTATATTAAGTCAATGCGGACATATGGAACACGCAGAAGGACTTAACGTAGACCCGCCTGCTTCTTATACCGATCGATTCAAAATCATAATCTGAATAAGTTAGTCCATCGTGTAGAGCATATTATATTCTTACTTACTTATATTTTCATTAGAATTCACCTTGACATCGGTTGAGATCCAAAAAAGTAGACTTACGTGGCTCAAAAGCACGGTAAGGTAAGGTAAGGTAAGGTTAATATTTATGAGATATTACAATTACGAACGAATTTCGATCAAGAAGTATTCAAATTTACGCCTTTCTATCATATAAATTATAGGATAAGGGATTCAAAAACTGCTTGTATCCAATTAAAACCTTTCATGCCGAAATATTAATACTAAGCGATTTTTGTCGAGCAAATCTAAAAATTAGAGAATAATCGGAATAGTACTCCGATCGGAATCGTTTTCAATAACGTTCGTCATTAGATCAAAATACGTTAGTGCACGAAATTTCATCAAAATATCTCGAATACTTAGATCTGACACACGAATACATGGACGGACCGAGAAGCTTAACTAAATTCAGGAAATAATTGAGAACCGCTATCTTAAGTCCTTCGGGTTGTGACCACAAGTGAACAATTCATCAGAATGATAGGCAAACATATTATGCTCTATAACTGTAAGGATCTTAATAAAATACTTTATCCGCCTCGAATCTCGAATAGCAACGCAATGATCGTAGATTGCTCGAATCTCAAGTGCGCTAGAGTTTTTAATTGAGAGCCGATGCTGTTAGTGCTTTAAGATTTTCTCTGGCTAAATTAACAATAATAATAATTATAATAATAACAATAAAATACTTAGGATGCACGATAATCGTACTTGCAATCGTGCACATATGTCTACTACTGTGTTATTTATCTAACTATGACGGTAGCATGGTTAGCGCTTAAGGATAATTTTCACATTCTTTCTAATTGCCGACGAAACTACGGACGACCAATATGTGACAGAAAATAAAGAGAATTGAGAATTGAAAAATTTTTCCGTTAGAGGTAAAGTTTTGAAATTGAATATAATCACTTTCAACGCCACGTACGCCATCATTATCATCAAATATTCGTCCTACGAGGTCTATTATCTATTGCCTGCTGTTTGTTTCAAATGGAGGGGGAATCGACAAATCATTTAAGAGGAATCTTGAACGAAGCAACCGATACGTTGCCGTTTTTATACCCACTATTGAAGATTGTGGAGAGATGGCTGCCTTCAGCAATGCTACATACGCGATCAGCATCTAATTTCGATTCTATTTAAGAATGTCCGTCTGTCCGTTTACTCATGTAACGTCTCCTAATTGCAAAAATGAACATATAATCTTCAAAAATGACATTGAAAGTTGTTGTAAAATTGTCCCAAAATCGCCCGAAGGACACCTCGATTGCACTACATAAAATGAGAGAAAAAAAAAAAAAAAAAATTAGCATTTTACTCATTGCTCCTAAGCTTGAAAACTAATTATAATCCATATTGTATATGAATAATAAAGGCAGGGGGTAAAAACTATTTGACCACAATCGATTATAATTTTCACCTTCGTTACTTTTTTATAAACTATTATTTAACAAACTGGTATCCAGTTATAGCGGTATCCAGTGTATAGCGTTCATTAAATAATAAAATTGATTTAAATGCATTGCACCGTTAGGCTTGCTTACCTTAAAACGTAACTCTTCCCGTGGCGATTCGGCATACGGTATACCAAGAAATTGCATGAAAGCCTGTTCAGACCATGAGGTTGTCGCATAGCCGCCTACAATTGAACCCTGACCCGGTATATGCAGTGTCGTAGTAGCCCTCGCCTGCGATACTGCAGGATATTGTATAGTAATACCGCTAATACTCAATACGATAAGCGATATAAACGCAACATTGGCTGATATATGCATTTTGTTAATAGTGAACGATTGCAATTATATAAATTAAATTGTGTTAGACGACAAAAAGCGAGACGGCCAAATAGTACAGATGTCTTAACGAGTTGTTGGTAAGTAAATAAATGGTGTTTTCTGAGGCAACACACAACATTTATAATAACGCTGTCGTATCAACTTTTGGGGCAAGAAAGTGAAATGATCGCAAGCGGAGACGTGGAGAGCATGTTTTAAATAACCGCTCTTAACTGATTTAACTTACCTTTTGCTAAGAGTGTTTAGTTTAAAAAAAAAAAAGCACAAACACACACACACACACACACACACAAACAGACACATATGTGTAGGCACAATTCATATTTGAACATTTTGAAAAGGAATAAAACATCAATGGCGAGATGGGCCATAGTGTAGTAAAATTATATGAATGCTTCTAAATTGGATTTTCAAAACATATGTGTATTTACATGCACATCTGGTTGTTTATTATTATTATTTTTCGTTTTTAAAAAAAGTTTGTATTACAAGCAATCAGCAAAAGTCAATAAAGAACGCAACCAACGTAAGTCACTTATTTGCCTACATTTACAATTTACGTGATATTGCAATACATCGATAATGTAAACTGAATTTTCCGTATGTATGTTTGTGTACTGGTTTTTTTTTTTTTTTTTTTTTTTTTTTTTTGTAGTTCCAAACATGCTTCTCTTTCTGTCACTTATAAATATTAAACATACATGTATACATGTATGACAGTTGACAGTTATAAGTCGATTCCTGTTCCATCTATTCTTTAGAGGAACTCTATACAGCTGCTTAATTATTCTGATCATCTTGGCGTTATCGTTGATTATTATCAATGGATTCGAATGCGGATAGAAAGCTTTAGATAGATGAATTTTTAAAATGAAAAAGAAATTTAACGAAAAATTTGATATATCTTGTAATTTAACAACGCAAAGAAACAATAAAAAACAAGAAAAAAAAAAACTCTTTAATTTGTGATAAGTTTAAGCATCGAATTGAAACAACGTTTAGAAATTGATTGTTTAAAAAAATGATTTGAATTTATTTGAATCTTTATCATACAATAATCAATCAATATAATTATTTCTATTCTTAAAGAAAAATGTCGGGAAATCCAATGGATGAGAGAATTGAAATAAAAAAAAGTATATATATGCATATACATATATATATATTATTTATAATTTTATTTATATCTTATATTTATTGAATTCATATAAAGTATTCAAAACAAATGAATCTGCTCGATTGAATACCATTTGGAATAGTCTCGGTCTTCGGCCAGCTTTTTGCGTTGAATAATGTTATACAAAAGTGCGGACGTTTCTTGTAGTTCAATAATTTCATGCTTATATTGAATGAAAAGTTCTTGCCATCGCAGCAATATTTCAATGAGCTTAACATCTTTGGATAGAGCCAATTTTTGAAAATGCGTATTAAGGAAGACGCCAAACCAACGCAAAATTTGCAATTCAAATTCGACGCTTGTATGTTCGTGAGATGGCCTCTCTTCAAATGCCGTAATATCCGGATCTGTTAGCATGTCATAAAGATGCTCGAGCAATATTAACGCTTCCGAATAACCAATATCTTGTCTTATATAATTCGCAATAACTGTAAAATCAAAATTACACGAAAGCAGGATATTTAAAATATCTTTAATTTCCGTTTGTAACGTGCCCGCCGCTTCCTTCGATAAACGATCGCTATATGGGGTATATGATTTTTTCTTATTTTTTTTATCCATTTCGTATTTATCTTCCGATTTTATGTCAATTGAATTCACAATCGAATTTCGATGGCCATTGAATAGGAGCGTTTCATTGCTCGCAGGTTGCTCTTTTGTGGCGGGATTAGTAATTTCAAATTGCTTTAAAATAAAATTTAAAGTTTTTGATAGCATTTTTTCTGAAATGTTTGTGTATCTTTTTAGGCAAACGCCTATATCTGTCAGTAATTCGGCCTTAATTAAAAGCCATAACAATTTTTCAGTAATTTCATGCTCACTTGCCCCCGCTTTTTCCATTTGGCTTGCAATAATTTGAATTTTCCGACACGTGAATCCGTCATCGTTGTGATTAGACATTAAAGTGATTTGCTCGTCATTGCATGCTACGCTCGCTTGCCGAACGTCAACATGTAAATTTATATGTTTGATATGATTGAGATCTTTTTCAAAATTTTCGACTCCCATAAAAGGAATTGACCTACCATCAGCCTCATTAATATAATGAGTTCTCTTAGGCTGATATTCGAGTTCAGTACACTTCCCGATATTAGTCGTGAATTGCAAGTAATCTTGTATGTAATCATCTTCGTTAATTTGATCACCTTCAACAGAGGTTTGGTAATCATTGCAAACTTGTGTACCTACCAGTTCGGAGAGTAATTCTTTTGAAACTCGATACTGAACAACCGAAAGATTTTGACCGAGTGCTAAAAGGATATGGTTATCTATAGACCACAATTTCGAAAAATCGAAATATACTTTGAAGAATTGTTTGACTTTGATTACTTTATATTGTAGATTGTAGATTAAAAGAGAAGCTCCCTCGCTTTCCTTCTTTTGACCGTAATTTGCTCCATATATAGCCACAGAATGACCTGAGAGACCTAATAATGATAGAGAGCTATCAACCTTTAAATGACTAAGCATAGACACAAAAGTGCCGGGAGAACGTTCAGGTTGTGCGCAGTCGTCTAAGCTAAGTAAAAAGATCCTTTTATCAGACCCTAAAATGTAAAATGTACGTAACTTTTCCAAACCATTACACTGTATAATTGAATTTTTTTACTTACATATAGTGCACAATGAAGGTACCCCATCACCTTCAATAACTGCAGCACCACAGACTGTAGTTTGTAGATTTCCCCTTTTCAATGGATATCGTTGTCGTAGGTTTTCGTCTTCAAGCGGCAATCTTACCAGATAACATTCACCGCTGGTATGGTTTGTTTCAAAGTACGTAAGAATTTGTTTCCCATTAGGTAATGTGAATATACGTCCTTTGTTCAGGTTCAAATCTGGGACTAATTGCAAATGTTGTGGAACAGAAGTTATCTCCCTGCCCTCTTTGCGAGTGTCAATAGCAGTCTTAAGACATTCAAATGAACCATCATCATACAAAACAAACGTATCTTTTTCATTCGTGACAAGTTCGGAAATATTTTTGTGAAACTGCGTGAGTATATTATTACAGAAGGATTGTGCTGGTTTTTTGTAAATAATTTACCCTTAGTTTTTTAGTTTTGTTAACATCAACGGTACTTTCATCCCAGCAGCGTAAGGTTTTATTACCAAATACGCCAACATATTTTTCGCTGCTTTTATCATAAACCACTTTAGAAGACAGTTTTTCCACTACCGACCAACTTCTTACTTGTTTCTGTGTACTTATCTAAAATAAAATATATTGTCAAATTGTTTAAGAACAAGTGGAGATCGATTTTACCGTAATTATAATAACAATGTTTTTACTCAAAGTTGTTATAATATTGCCTTTTTCTTTATCAGCGGCTATTCCCAAGAAGTCTTTAGGCTCCGGTATGGGACAAAGATTGTAATAATTGATAAATTTAGTCATTTTTCAACAAAATTTTAAGTAAATCCGTCCCTCTTTCTAATGTATTGGCACGTGTTTTACTTAATTAATGTGTTAATCTTGCCAAAACAAAAACAACTTTCCTTAAATAAATTCAACACTGTTAATGCAAAAGTTTTCACTTTACAACTTATGGAAATGTAAGCAATATTGGATAACAATATTTCAATTTCCACCTATTTCATTCCACTATTCCGTTTCTGCAAGACACAAACCAATGCCGGATTCAATAATGCTTACGGCTTATATTTAACATAGTGTCTACATTAAAAAGTTATCGCTATAAAGTAGCCGTGGTTGGGTGAATTTTTTGTTTACATTCGACTAACATTCTTATTCTGGCATTATTTTTTTATCATAAAATTATAAAATAAAATAAAATTTATGCTTGCGTTTGGTTGTAAGCATTGCTATCACTTTAAATTAAATTTCGTATTCTAAAGCAAAAATTACAACAAAACTCTTCAATAATAATTTTGTGGTAAAACAGACCTGTTAATATATGAAAGTCATAAGCAGAATTATCAAAAAAAAAGAAAAATATACGGCTTTGCAAAAAAAAAAAAAAATTTATAAAATGGACAACATTGAGAATAAATTATAAGTACATATATAATATATTATTTTAAGTGTGTGTAGATATTAGAAAGGTTACCACAGATGCAGCCATTAGCAATTAAGCTATTATTTGTTGTTTGTCGAACAACATCATGTTATTAAGAAGATAAAAAAAGTCCGATATATCCACAATAAATGAAAAAATTATGGAAGGAATTGGCTGCAAATTTAACTGAACCTACCAGAAAGAAAAAAGTATATAGAAAAGTATTTATTTAAAAGAATCTTAACATTATTTTCAGTTGTTAAATCATTAGCAAAATTAACAGAAATGTTGGACTCGTTGGCAATGTAAAATTTTTTACTTATTTTAAATTTTTTTAAGGTAAACATTTTGGATTGTTTATATATTATTTCTTTAAATGAACATCCTTATTCTGGGCAGAATCACTGACAGATCACAAAACCTATGTTTCTGCCAAATAGCTGAACAGCTGTTGTTATCTTTTTTGGTTTTCTCACGTTTAAGCAGAAGTGTGGGGACTAAAAAAGTGACATGTTTGTGATTATAGTAACAGAACAGAAGGTAGTACAATAGTGTACAAATTTTTAAAAACTTAAGGATAGTATAAAAAAAAACTGTATAAAAAATGAAAAAAAAAATTGCAATAAGCGTAAAAAAAACATTTTTTCCTTATATTAATTTATTTATTAGTCAATTACATTGGCTTGCTGAGAATTTTCAAACATCTGCGTTGGTTTGCGTCATTTTAGAATTTTCCCTTTGTTTACTGTGTATTTAATAAAGCAAATTTTGGGTACTAAGAGGACATTGCGCATACGCGATAAATTTTTTATGTTTTTCTCTATTCATCAATTCTATCTTATTTGTTGCCCCTCAACCTGGGTTGCTTATTTCCAGCATGTCGAACTAAAACAGGCCCTGAATCCGATCGGTTTATCGGTTGTTGGCTATGTCAGCGTTACTGTCCCGAGAAATGTGCAGGAATTACTGGCTGAGCTGCTGACGTAGTCTTGCAGTTCCGGCTCGGAAAGCAATATTTGTGTTAAGACACACATTTCAAGTGCCAACATAAAAAGTTAGCTTGATGTAAAAGTCCCATTTGCTAATTTTAATCTTGTTAGCATATTTAAATTGTCCCCATCTCAAAGTAGAGTCATCAATCCCTTTAAGATTTTCGTTCCGACAGAAAATACTGCGGGATAGGACTAATTCTATAACACATTCACTTGAATGTTTCCTCAAAAATTCGGTCGCCCTACCTTAATTCAGTGAACACCGAGGTCTCCTGTTTTTACATTCGTCGGAACTTTTCACAACAGAATTTTAAAATCTGAAACACAACTTTTTTCTGACTTCGTCAAATCTAACTATCAGAAATCATTGTCTAGGCAGGGAAAGCAGTTGACGACCTAATCGGAATCTTTCATTGAAAGTCTCGAGCAATGTATATTTAGAAAGAGCAAAATAGGAGACTACGTATCTGGCCTTCATCTTTCGCTACACTAAGTCAAACAAGTAATAAGCGGAGATTGTATTGAAAAGCATTGCACGGCTCATTTGCATCTTAGTTCGACAAAACTGGTTGGTTTAGTATGTGCTTAACGATCAGTGAACGCACTCAGTGAATCTGGAAATATGGCAAAAGCTGGTTACCGTTGTATGATAAAATTCCACCATTATCAAGGGGGAACTAATTTCCAATCTGAAGGGACCTGTTCTTACATTTACAAGAATAATGGCGAGACTTGAATCAAGCAGAAAATTATTAAAATTAGATGATCATCAACAAAACGTGTGATTGGCAGCAAACAGAGTAGGTATTTCAAAAAGTCCTATATGTTGCACGTTCACTAAAAGTTTGGTCGTAAGAACGCCTAGCCCAATGGGCCGCCGCGCTACCATATTGTTTTACAGGAAAATGTAAATAAAAACATGGGGTTTTATAACTAAAAATAAAAACATGAAGAACAAATTTATAAAATATAAAAAGAAGAGAGTTAAAATGAAAGCAAATAAACTTATTTCTTGATCAGAGATAAAGAAGATTAATTAAATATATGGATATATTTTCGTTAATATATTTCAAGTTTAAAATTGTTTGTTTTTCATCTACTGTATAAATTAAAAATGTAATCCACATAATGTAAAAAAAAAAATATACGTTAATGTAAAACAAGCATAAATTAGATAAATAACTTTAGAATTTAAAATAAACAATCATCATTTCGTCTTGTGCGTTTTTTTCTTTTTGTTTTATTTGTATATATATATACATATATGCAAAACCATATGATTTCTCAATTCCTATGGAGTTTGAAATAAGTCGGCAAAGTTGATGTCCCAGCCCGAAAATTGCGAATAACGCATCAATATATTAACCGCCTAAGGATAATTGTCCAAAAGTACTTTATATTAATATTTGGGGTTAATAATTTCGCCAAGATTATAATCTTTTAAGAATAAATATTTGTAGCATAAGAACATTGTGATTATCTATTCGCAGCCAAGGAAGATGTAATTTATTGTTTTGCTATGTTAGCTCGCGTTTTTCTTGTAGTGTCATCCAACTCTCTCTCTCTCTCTATTTCTATCTCTCTCTTTCTATCTCCGTATTGACATTCATTGTTATTACAAATTTTTTTATTGGCACTTCCTTCATCTTTCTATCTCCAATGCTTTTCCTTTTTTTTTTTTTTGAACACCTCCTCTAGTTTAAGTTGCCGTATTAAACTGTATGCTTTCGATATGTAAAGTTATAAAATATTATTTAAAATAAAAAAATAAATGAAAGAGTATAAATACTTAATTTCAAGTCTAATGGAAATTTTCATCACAGTAACAAAATAAGTTAGACTGTCAAATAATAAAAATTTTTTTGATGGATAAATCAAAAATAGAAGGAAAAAAAGATTAATGAGGAAAAGAGAACATTCGTACAAATTACAAATTATTGGCCACACTTATAGAAATAAGGAACATAACGTAAAGCTTGTGAGATTGAATTTTATGAAAATTTAATTAGTTGTTAATTGAAATAAATTTAACGAAATTCGTTGTAAATATCGCAAAGCATACATTGAGGATTGAAAGGATTTTTATTTGGTTAAAAAAAATTTCAAAAAATTACATTAACTTATTTCGTGTTTGTGGGTTATTGGTGTGAAGTGGAGCGGAGTTATTGCAAATCATATAGAGACTGCACTGGTTGTCATTTCTATACCACAACAATGGGTTATGATTTGCATCGTTTTCAAGGCGAAGTTGATGAAGAGTTAACATGTCCCATCTGTTCTGGTGTACTAGAGGAACCCGTTCAGGTTGTTGTTTATATACGTAATTGTTGTAAATGTTTTTATATAAACGAAAAGCAAACATTCATACATCTTTTTAGGCTGCTATGTGCGAACATGCTTTTTGTCGAGCTTGCATTAACGAGTGGCTGTCACGTCAACCCTCATGTCCTGTGGATCGTAACTCTCTAACCGCGGCTAATCTTAGAGCTGTTCCAAGGATACTAAGAAATTTATTGTCACGGTAAGCTTATATTGTATTATATTACTCTTAATGTCTATATGAAAACTGATAGTAATGGATATGGGTCCTGAGTTAAATTTGCGAAATTGTGACAGAATTTCAACTTTATAGTAAAACATAAATCTTGGAAATCTGTTTAAAATCCGATTTGAATAGTGCTTGACCCTGAAATTGGTCATCCTCTGTAAATAAATATGCATAGCGGGTGCGTAAAAATGATTGAGAGGTGACTTCATCACATCAAAAAGTATTACCTTTAAACTATACGAAATAGAATAAGTTATAACGCTAAAGTGCATACAACATGTCTTCTTGGAGCTTTGAATAGATGTCGCTTTTCTGTTGGAACCTTTATTTTTCCCGCCTAATTCGAAGGCCGAACAGTGCCCACGTTTTGATGTCGACATCCAAAATGACCATGAAGTAGTTTACGCGAACCGTTAATGTCGACTATAGAGACGAAAACACGTGGCGACCCCATATGTGGAGGTCAGATATAGATGTATCACGGTTTGTTCCGACCAAATGAAACCGTCGCTAGGGAGCTTGTTAATAATTGTGATGCAAAACAAGAGCTAAAAGTCGACAGTCATGTTATTTTGAGTTTCCAATATGAAGAAGTTTAGCCCGATAGAAAAAAATTTATTCAGATAATGTTTGCAATTTTGACCTGGAATGTTGCATCATGTCCGATGTTACCAATAGATATTATTGCTTCCGATTAACACAGGTCTCATCGGATGTCCTGTTTGTTTCCATTCTTATCGGAATACCGAAATATTGGCTCTTTTGTGAATAGCCTCAAGAGACCAGTAATAGCCGAGCTAAAGCCTAGCGATGGACAATGCTTTGAGCCATTTTTGGAGTCATTCGTCAAATCACACATCCACTATATATTTATATTAATAGAACCATGAAATAAAGCAACAACTGAAGAATGCATAAAATATTTCAGCACCTTTAGGAAGTCCGCTGAAGTAAATTCCTGATATATAGTAGGATCGATTGTATATTTGATTAGAGATTTTAATTTTAAACCACCTTACGGCAACTTTCATTTGGCATTGATGCAAATTTTTACAAGAAGCAAAATTGATTGTATAACTTAATCGAATATCTTATAAATCTTTCTTTCAAAAGCCTTTCCATTACTTGTAATAATGCCGCCCACGGCTGTACACTAATACTTAAATTAGATGCACTTAATTCACACTTGGAAGAATGTGAGCACAACCCCAAACGGCCATTGCCATGTGAGAAAGGCTGTGGCTTTGTTATACCCAAAGATGAGCTAAAGGATCACAATTGTGTGCGAGAATTGCGCACAATGATATTAACCCAGCAACAGAAAATGAGCGAAATTAAAACAGAGATAGCTGATCAAAATATAATTGTCAATGAACTGAAACGTGAACTGCAGCTATTTAAGGATTTCATTCGCGCGATGAGAGTCTCGAATCCGGCTATGTGTGCTATAGCTGATCAAATGGAGCGTGACGAAGTGATTCGTTGGAGCAGCACTTTGGCCAGGGCCCGTGTAACACGCTGGGGTGGTATGATCTCAACACCAGATGACGCTTTACAGGTGAAATAAACCCTAAGAGCAATTAAAATATTGATTTGCCATCTGTACCGTACCGATATACATTCCATTTCACGGTAACCGTTTTCAAACTCTGTCGATTAATAATAAATTTAGTATACGATATATTTGCTTATGGATCTTGCCATCTTACGTTCGCAAATCAACAAAATCGGTCCGCTGGTCCGTTAATAATTACAAAATATTTTCAAATTCCTTACTTACTCTTTTTAAAGTTTTGTCCTCAAGAATTTCGAGAATTTAGAATCCCTTTATCAATTTTGAAATCAATTAGATCGGAGTAAAAACTCGTGTATACTTAGAAAAAAAAGAAAAAATCATATATATGTATGTATAATAAAAGCCTGTGAATGTATCGCTCCCTAATCGTGCAAAGATACGATAAATGGTATATACGATACAATATACGATTGATATATTACTGAACACATTTTTCCTAATAAATTCGTGCGTAGCCGAATATAATCTATTTCTTATTACATATTTAAATGAATTTTTTTTTTTTTCACTTCATATAGATGATGATTAAACGCGCTTTATCGGAATCTGGCTGTCCACCTCATATACTTGATAATCTAATGGAAAATTGCCATGAACGACGCTGGCCGCGTGGCCTTAGTTCGCTGGAGACCAGACAAAATAATCGTCGCATTTACGATAATTATATATGTCGTCGTGTCCCAGGTGATTGTTAAAATTGAAAATTATTTAAAAATAATTTATATATATATATATATATATATATATATATATATATATGTATATATTCTATTCTATTTTATATGCTTCTAGGCAAACAAGCTGTTTTAGTGCTTAGCTGCGATAATGCTCATATGTCTGAAGATGTAATTGTTGAACCGGGATTGGTGATGATTTTTGCTCACGGCATAGAATAGGGTTATAATTAATTTAGAATTTAACTGATAGTTCTTTTCAGAAATCATTGAAAATCTTCTTAAGAATTCCTTATACCCAAACATTCATATATATTTAATAATCTATAAAATATTTGTTCACCTGAATGCTGAGTACTAATTTTAACTGCTTATCACCTTTCCTTTTTTTTGTCGAATGAAAATATTCCCGAAAGTTATTTTCAGTTTTATTTAACTTACGATAAATATGCACACTTTACATTGCCTCACAATTACATTATGATTAATTAGTTAGTGATCTCTTGAGTATAATTTAAATAATCGTCTTGAGTTTATATTTGCATACTTTTAATATTAATTTTAAGAAGACCGGAATATGCTTATCGTAAAATTTTAATTCGTAGTATAAGTCAGGCCCGTATCGAAGATTATTTTTATGTATTACCTAAGAATGAATGGATGGAGCGTTCGAAAAATTTTCCTATATCTATAAATTTTGGAAAATAGAATATACTATGCCATGCACAGATTCCACACACACACTGGTTAACACACTATATCTTCCTCTCAACGAATAAAAACCACCACCGCCATCGTAGATGTTAGTACAAATTTTCATTTCTAGCAGCCAGACATATAATCATCGAGCCTATGTTTTTGATTTGCGATTTTTAGAATATTTTTCGAATGTATTTCGAATTTTTAAAAGAATCTGGATTTTTCCTTTAGTAAATCCGTCAATTCTTCAAAGCCTTCCGAAAACTTTGATATTGATATTTTTTTTAATCCTATTATGCGTTGAGATTCTCGGAAATTATTGCTAATGCTTTCGTCAATTTGTTGCTTGCAAGCCAAGGCAGATATATTCATTATCGGAAATTCGCTGTAAACATCCATCAAATTGAAGGAAGCTTACAAAAGTATTTGCAAAAATCCCATGTAAAATGATCCCAATAGTCGAAATACTATAATTTATATAATGCATAAGAGATATTGTTTCAAAATTTGCTTGCACATGATTAACGGAAACATTTTCCAATACATATGGGATTGAGGGTGGTGGGTGTCAAATGTTTGTCATTTCTTGAGTTTTGCTAATTACTATATACGGAATATTAGAATAACATTGACCTTCCGATACGTTGAGTTATTATTATCTATACTTGGCTATTATGTGCATTTACACTAATTGCGATAATTGAACTGAGATGCAAATTGAATTAACAGAGCTATCCTGTATCCTGTTAGTATATAAATCTGTATAATGAAATTCATTATTTTCGAAATTTAATCGCTAATTTCTAAAAGAGACTCGCTCTTTATATCTCATGTATGTCAGAGATGGAATTTTTTTTTTTTTTTTATACCTGCCACTGAAGGATCATAGTGTTTGCAACAATCAAAAGGAAGCTTCAAATACTCTATCACGTATATACATTCTTGATCAACGTGAAATTCTGAATAGTCTGTCCGTTTGTGCGCATATATGGTGTTTGTTGTTGGCATTCACCCAATCGCAATAATGAATATATTAATTTCAAATTTGTTAGAAACATTGGTATTGAAAATGGACCAAATTGGTCAGAGCAGAAGCCCGCAATCGAGCGTAGACTGAACGCAACTCCGATCTTGCTTGTTACAAAATCGAAATTTTACGAAATTTGTACTCTATGTTTTGCATGAAAAATGGGAAAAAATAACCTTTTCACAAAAATTACAAACAAAAACATTTTTTTTTTTTTTTTTTTTTCGTTTTTTGAAGTTTTATGTTTATTTATCATAACGCAAACAAGACAGGATGTTTTAAATTAAAACTATATATTTTAAATTCCCCAAATGAAGATATATTATATATGCCTAAAAAAAGGGGTCATCGTTAAATGGCATCTCGATTATTTTTTCTTATTATTAATAAGATCGATATGGGTATCAAATAAAAGAGTTAGAAGAGTAGAACGCGAAAAAGATAGTGGGTGGGTATGCGAGATCCGGCCGGCCCCCCGTTGAATGTAACTTTCGTACTTGTTACTTTCTAAATTTTGAATTCATAACGTTCCCTATTATTTTTACTTGCATTTAATTTTTAAATTTAAATGAAGAGATTGTATAAGATTCGTTACTTCTGCATGAAAGCCCTTCACATAAAGCGTTCGTTTAATAATTTATGCACGAATTTGTGCACGTTAATGTGGATGAAATTAATGCGAAGGCGTACAAATCTTGAAAGTTGTTTATAAATCTGAAGAATGATAAAATGAAGAGTTACATGTCTGGCGAATTCATTATATGGATGGCAGGTAACGGCTTAATTGAAAATACTCTACTAAAAGCGGGCATTAATATTATTTAATATTAAATCATTGGTATTGTGATTGTATTACTTAATCGAATTAATAATATAAGTTAAAGTTTTAATAAAATCACTGCATCAAGAAAAATGTTATGTGGAAGTGATGTTAAAAAGAAAATGTGAACCGTATGAAATATAAAATAAAGAGTATATATATATATATATGTATACATATATATTTTTTTTTTTTGACGACCATTTAATAGAAATTTTTCAATAGTTTTTTTTTTTTTCTTCCGTTAATTTCATTCTTCTAGTTTATAATTGTATGAGTAAATTAATTAAAGAGAAAAGAATCATTTCAAAAGCATGCGTTTTACTTAAATTTTAAAGCGATGCATTTTTAGCAATGGCAAACGGTGGAGTCGAGTCCTTAATACAACTTGATGTTTCTTATGCTCATCAATGGATGTTAAAGCAAACGAACCTTTGCTTTGAATTTGACATTAAAACATTCTGCCATTGTATCTATCAAAGTGTTAGGTTATCTGGGGGGAACGAACATTCGAACAGGACCACACCCTACAACGATTTTTTAAGGGTAAGAGTAATTTTTCGGCGTGTTATTTACGAAAGTGTAAAAACAGTTTCCCAAATACAAAAACATTTCATTCTAAATTTGAATGGAACACAAGAATTGGTTTTTTTTTTTTTAAGTTTGGTTGATGACCTGATTCGGTTATATCTTTACCATATAGCTAACTACTAATTATCTAATCAATGCAATTTATCTCAAAATTTTAATTTGTTTTCACTTTGGCTCAAAGCATAAATGCTGTACATTTTGAAAACGTTTGAATTTGAATTGAATGCAAATCATTGATAACTATGCCAAATAAATAAAAAAAAAAAAAACTGGAATCTTAAAAAAAACCAGAGGTGAAGCGAATTACAAAAATATCAAAAAAAACTCACCATAGTTAGAAAAAAGAAATAACCAAACCTTGAGTTTGAATTTATATCGAACCGAATAGATTTTTTTTATTAGTAATTAAATGCAATTTATCGGGTTCTGTTGTTGCTGAATTCGGCAAAAAATTTGTTGTCCTTCAATGGGTTTTTATTTATCTTATAAAATATTCGATTGTCGACATTATACGAGATCTTCTCTTGTCGTTCTCCGTTTCACCTTTAAATCGGTAGGGAGAGAGTTTATTTCTGTTTTTGAATATCTTATATTGCAATAAATATACCATTTACTTGCTTATTCACCTTATGCTTTTTGGTGGAGAGTGAAATGCCTTCAGTCGATTATTATGTACTCGAATTGATTGTTTGAGAATTAACGTCAATGAATGAATCTGGATTATAATTGTTAAGGAAATATTTCATATTTCTGGATATGATATAACGATGATAACGATAACGTTGTAGGAAACGTTACAATCATCATCTGTGCTTCAACGCCAACCAAGCGATTCAATAATATGAGTTTCTAAAGAACACTCTTCAGAGCCTTGAAGATTCCTTACGTCGATAGATTTATTCAGATATTTAATTCAGGAACATGTTGTTCGTTATTATTCTTATTTTCTTTCGGTGTTGCCGCAAACAACTAAACGATTTTATAACAGGCTTGTTTAAACGTTAATGACCCATACAGCCAAACGATTTTGCGTGATCCGGCAGTGTGGCGGCAATAATTCGTGTACTGTTTAATGTTCGTACTAAAACGTTGTAAGTACTGTAACTATTAATCCCTTGGTGCATAAATCTATTTGTTTACAACACCCAAAAGTAAACTTCAGAGACCTTATCAAGTATATATGTTTTCGGTCTGTGTGAAATTTTGAATTGATTAAGCTATGTCTGTCCGTCTATGCGGTTTTGTTGATGGCACTCTCCTGGTCGAAAAAATAAAGATATCGACTTTAAATTTGGTAGAAACGTTAGTATTGAAAATGGGCCAAATTGAGTCAGAGCAGAGGGCCGGAATGAAGTGTAAATTAAAAGCAATTCCGTTTTTCTAAACAAAAATCAACGGTTTTTTTATATACTTTATAGAAAATTCTACTATTCATGTGTGCACATAGAAAGAATCGGCCGCGCCTCCATAAAAAGTTGTGATTCAATTTTTGCTTTTTTTCACCTTTTTGAGGTTTTATGCTTAGTAATCAAGTAAGGCAAACAAGACAGGATGTTTAAAACTATTTTGTACAATTCCTCAAATAGAGATATATTATCTGCCTTAAAATGCGTTAATTCTAAAATAAATATGGTGGACATCACGACGATATGGACTTGGAGAGTTGGAGTCGAAAAGCTAAATGTGTTAATTCTAAATTAATTACGGTGAAGTTCAGGACATGATGGATATAACTTTTTTCTTCAAAACACCGTTCATATCGCTATCAATTAAAAAAGTTTGGCGAGTAGAATGCAAAAAGCCGGTTGTGTGAATTCTAAATTAATTATGGTGGACATCACGATAGTGGTTGATTAAATTTTCTGAACAATAACTTTGACTTTATTACGACAATAAATAAAGGCATGGAACGCCAAAGATTTTAATGGTGATGGATATGCGAAATTCGGTCCCAGCCGAATATAATTTTTTCGCGTTTTTTTTTTGTAGATGTAAAAATAGCTTTCTATATAGTTTCAACATTCATTTTAGTAATCAAGCCCAACCGTTCGGGAATCCTTTGAGTTATTTATTTCCATTCAGTTAAAAACAGCCAAGTTATAGGTAATGCGATCTATAAACTAATATATTAAGCCATTAAGTTAAGATTTATTTCGCATACTTTGTGTCACCTTGCATTCTTTAAACAAAAGGATTAGCTTTTGCCAGTGATGCCAATTTCCAAAAAGTAGAAAAACGCTTTTAAGCTGAGAAATTTAACAAACTATACATATGTTAGATTGAAAGCATTGATTTGCGTTTGAATACAGATTATGTTATGTTAACAGAATGACAATTTATTTTTTTATCGATTACTTTGACTGAGTTTTTATCGTGCATTAATATGTAAGTATTTTTGCCTTATGTAAATACGACCAAATTTACGACCATTTGTAAAAAGATTCAAAAAAAAAAAATGTAGTAAAACATTAAAAACATTAAAATCACCGAATTAACTTTGATTAAACCATTTAAATGAATTTTATTCATTTCACATAACATGATTTCACGTGCTCCTTTACATGTGTATGGATAGCGGCATATATATGTGGGTGTACGTGTTTTGTATCTATCTAGATATAAGATTAATGACAAGCATTCATGCTTCGCCGTTTATATTTGTGGAATTTGTGGGAACTGGGCGGTCAACTTGTGGAATTTGTGGGACCTGGGCGGTCAACTTGTGGAATCTAGGCGGTTAACTTGTGGAATCTTGCCATCACATATTAATCTCAAATAAATTGTTTCATTTCAAGTGTCTGTTGTCATCTTGTTGTTGAAAATCTCTACTCTTTAGTGCGTTAAAACACCTGTTTTGATAGACAACACAATGCTAAATGAATGTGGCTATGTATTATTTGCCTAAGTGTAGGAGAATTATTTATATATAATATTAATTATAAATAATGTGCTCATATTGACCTCTTAATCATAATCATATGTGAGCAGAAAGTCCAAATGTCGTCTGAATACGTTTTAAATATAAAATTCTGGCGTAGGTTGGAATATTTTTTAGAATTTCTTCAAAAAATATCTACAATTTAATATATAAACCGCTTGTATCCTCCTTTCTATTTATTTCGAGGATTCCGGTCTTTCTAACAAAAATTTTTTTTCTCTTATTTTACGATAAAAATTTATTTCTCTTAAAATTCATATGCACACACACACACACACACACACACACACACACACACACACATACTTCTGAAATACAAGAAAATAGTTGTATTACCCAGTTTCGATATCTCACGTGTTTAATACGATAGCAGTTTATAAAATTTATTTCGTACATACATAAAAGTGTATATCTATTTATTTATGTATGCAATTAGGTGCAATGCGTTCTTTATTGTGCTTGTATTCGTATGAGCAATCTTTTGCCTGACCGCTGTTTCTCTTTACTTTACTACTTACTGCTTGAAGTTTTAGATGCCAAAAGTAATCAAAATAATTTTGCTCTACCCTTGTTTAGCGTAGGCCCGAGGTTAGTGACGTTTGGCGGTGCCATTGAAACAGTGAGCGTAGTGGTGCGTGTTTAGCGGTGTTTTTGTTTTAATTAATATTAATATTAGAAAGAGTATAAAAATTTTTTTCTACTTATTTTTAAAGAGAAAATTTAATGTTCTACTAAAAAGAAAAAAACAAAACAAAATTGAAGAAATATTTCAAATACAGAAAATTTCTTCTAGAGTTTAAAGTAAGTTAACGAATATCTACAAAAATTATTCAATTTTTCTTGCTTTTCCTTATTACATATTAACATTAGGTGACGGTGATGTTTGCTATGATTAAATGAATGAAAAATGAACAACTACGCAGGTTCCCGCACTAAATGCCGAAAAATTTTTTCCATAAAAAATTCTTTTTCAAGTTTTGCTTAGAAGTTTTCCGTCCATTGAATTTAACACGTTTCACGTTGTGTTCCTCTCAAAACGCTTCTTGAGAAGCTATAATATCCTCAGTCAGATGTCTAGTTGATTGCGTCTCTCAGATATTTTTTGATTTCTTATTTCCTAAACGTTGAAGACAATGACAAACGTATGAAAAAACGTTTGCCGTAAATGGAAGCGTGTTTAGGAAATGTTTTGCGAAATTTGTTTTCGACAGATTTTGATCTTTAAAGTGCTTTACGTTCTTGCGGGGCATTAACAAGTTTTATGTTGATCGATTTGCGACCGAACCCGAAATCGATACCTTCGGTTTATCGTATGCAGGACTACACTCAATCCATTAATTATATAGATTTTTGTATTAGCCAAAGCAATTAATTATCTTTTAAAAATGAAAAAGTTTATTGAATTTTCTATGAGCACTGCTTAAGTAGCTCCTACTAATAATAGTGGAAATACAATATCATCCTTCGCTAGCAGTTAATTTAAAATTTACTTAAAAGACTTTACAAAGTGTTTTAGTTCCGTGCCATTACAGGAGCGTTCGTTACTGGAATGCATAGTTGCGAGGATTCAGTGAAAGTTATTTCTTAAGATTTCCATTCGTGATAAATTCCTAACGTTGTTAAAATATTTCTTTAACATATCAGCCGCTAGTTACTACCGTTGGCTTCTAATTGTGGATGAGAATAGATCTAAAATATTATTATTTCGCGTACAAAAAAAATTCGCATTAAAAATAAATCGAGTTAACGATGATGACCATCTTGCGAATATTTACATGAATTTACTTCACTCAGCTTTTTTTTTGTTGCTGGTTTCTACCTGCGGATGAGAATGAACCTAAAATATTTTCATTTCGCGTACAAAAAAAATCGTACTAAAAATAAATTGAGTTAACTATGATGGCAATCTTGCTCAACTACTCTCAACCTGTTTTTTAATTTCCTAAAATGCAATACTTCCTTATCAAAACGGCTTCATTCTAATACGGATTGATTTCCTTAGCGTTTTTCTCAGTTAACCACTATCGTTAGGAAAATTATCCAATATTTTTCAAGTTTTCTTAAGGCTGTACATAGTCCCAACCCTTGTAACATTAATTTGAATATAAGCCTGAAGCTGCGCCAAATAATTTATCTAATTACGCATAACTAGTTCGTTTAAGTGTGGGTTTTTAGTTTAATCATCTAGTGCACAGATATCATTCCTTAGCGAAAATGATATTTAGTTTTAGTAGATTGTATATGTATAACTACTATAATTAACAATGATTTTTTTTTTAGGAAATGAAATTGAAATCTTTTTCCACGAAGAATTTTTCGCCTTAAGGTTTCTTTTGAATTTGAATCATCTAAATCAGTTCAAACTAATCCAAGCAAATTTTTATTTATTTTCTCAATTGCAATAGATCTAGAATCGTTTTTCCAGAAATTAAGTCTCAAATGACTTTTGTAAATGTTCGCAACAAATTTTAAATCAGTATCGTAGACTTTGTGTTTATTGTGAACGCCAGGTCAAGTTTTAGTTTGCTACCCTTTCACCCTTTCGCAACAATTAGATCTGGTAGAGCAACTTAATTAAGAGACGAATGCTGTGACGGAGAGTTTAGAACGATATTGGGTTTATTTTCAAACTTCACTTCTAATCTTTTGCCATTATAAGATCTCTCAGAATGGATGGATTGAAAAAAATGATCAAATTAACTCAATATTTATTGCTACTTTAAAATTTAATTATTTTGTTGCTTAAATATATGTATGTAATTTATATATATATATATATATATATATATATATATATATTTTACATTATTTATATATATATATATATATTTATATAATACATGCACACTCTGACGCTTATTTTAGTTTACGTGGTCTTCGATGGATATTACAAAAGCTGTTGAAAATTAAATAAATTCCCGATGATGGTTATAACACATAGGCAAATTGCGAAACGCTTTTAGCTGCTTAGAAGTGGTACCTCTTCGTCGCCTTCTACGATTTCAATTCTCTTTCTTCTCTAGTGATAGTTGTAGAGTAAACGTTTTAATTGGAAATCGACTCTTTTTTTGTCATACAAGAGAGACAGAGAGAGAGAGAGAGAGAGAGAGAGAGAGAGAGAGAGAGAGAGACAGACAGACAGCAATGCTAAAGCTTTTTGTTTGAAAAGATTATAGTAGAACTCTTTAGAAAAACATCATGAAAAATAAAAAAAAAATTTTTTATAATATTTTACCTTTTGTCTCTATATATTGGAATATTTAATGTAATAGTATTAGTTCATGTTTATATATATAATAACCAACAACAAATGAATAAACAGTCTGAGTACTTCGATGCAGACATTGAAAGACATCTTTTTTAATGGCTCGGCTCTATTATTGTAACGTAAATGCAGTGTTTTTTTTTAGTTTAGTTATTTGTCTATATCTTCCATAAAACTATATATCCACGCTAAAGAAATAATATTGCGAAAAAAAATAAACAAGAATAAAACCAATATATAAACAAGTAGTTCAAGCAAAAAGTGCCCAGTAAAATAAAAACTTTTGAAATAAGTGATATAAGAAGAATTTTGAGCGGAAGCGTTTTTTTTATCAAATACTTATTTTTTAATAGATGTTCTTTCGCCTGTTTTTTTCTTTTTCAAATAAACAATTACATTTGAAAGGAAAATTCTAATAAAATGCCCGGCTATATGGATACCGAAAATAATGGTGCGTTTTGTTGTAAAATCTTGTATATATATGTATATATATATATATATATATATAAATTTATTTCCTATATTCAATAAACAATTTAATTAAATTATCCTTAACTAATATTTGGCGCGAGAGAATTTCGTTTCTTTAGATAGTTAATTGATTGTACGCGGTGTGTCGTTGTGTATGTGATGTCTCTAAATTTGGTTTTAATTTCTCTCAATCGTCCTCTCTTCGTTATTCATATGGCTTCTCTTAAACGTATCTTATTGATAGAGAATTATGGGCAGAGTTACCATGTTGCAGAAAGCAAGACCAAAAACTAACTTTTCAACATTTAATGCTTTTCTTATCGCAATCCGGTGTTTTTGTAAATTCAATTTACGTTAATGAACTTAAAAGTGATCTCTTGGTTGTTTTTCTTGCGATGAAATTTTTAAAAATTTTATATAATTTTTTTTCCCCTATTCTATCAATCGGTCAAGTAACTACTACATCATCATATGTAAGCTTTTGTAAGGATTTAGGTTAATTGATAAATAAGAATTCGGACTATACAACAGGAATTCCTCAAGTTGAAAGAGTCACGTTTTCGGACAGATGCACCTAATCCTAAAACTTTGATATTCTGGCCACTTTATAGCTATGGATAGCTTATGTAGAATGGTTGATAGCAATGTTAGCGTTTAGCTCTTTTGGGTCGTTAAGGGAAAGTTCTAAGTAGGAATATATGAATTGGGGGCCACTCCCTGCGTTCTTACCTATTAAGGTTTTTTTTTTTTTTTTTGATTTGACCAATCATTCAGGGGATGCCCTTTTCTACGTTTAGCGTGGAGTCGGTCAAAAAAATGGGGGAGAAAGAGAAACAGATAGGAAGCGGCCACAGTATAATGGGTAAATCTTATGTTTTTAGTGACAAGCTACTACCAAGTATGGCCAACCGCACTGAAACTTAAGCTCGCGAACGCTGTCTCAGTAGTCACGACTTTTATCTTATCGCTTATGAGACAGTGTTCTCGATTAGCGATATTAGTGTCAAAGTTTCAAGGATTTTCTTTGATTAATCAGCAAATAGTGTTGTCTTTATGTATGACGTGTTCAAGGATATTATCATAGCGCAAAGACGGATGGATGATTGTAAATATTGTATAGATAGGCGGTCATAACTAAAACGATCTTACGTCCGATGAGATTGATCTTTACGTTATAATTGATTTGAAACACCTTTGATAGTGATGTAGCGAATCGAACTGGGATCAAAATTAAGGGACGCTTGTTTTTTTTTTTCTTTTTTTGTATTAAATCATTAATGTATTGATAAGAAATTTTGAAAAAAGTTCAAAGGTGTTGATAAGAAATAATATATTTTTTTTTAATCGTGTTATATATGACATTCAAAACAATTTTTATGTAAATAGAAAAGTTTTAGATTTAATTTATTTTAAAGTTTACTCTCCTTCCTATTCTAAGAAGAGACTTTTTAAAAAATGGAATGATCAAAATTTTTCGGATTCTTGGGTACAAACTAGAGTGATAATAATGTAACGACAGGGGTACCAGTAATGAAAAGGTCCTAAGGCTATATATTCGCTCCAAAAAGTATCGTTTCATTTCGCCTATTCATGTTTGCAGCTTGGATTAATGATCGATCGAGATCGAATCCGAACGAATTTGCTTAACCGCAGCACGACAATCACAATCATATATGTAGAGATTCGGTATCTTAAATATCTGTGGACAATCAAAGTCTATTTAACGCCTATTATTGGCTATTATAGTAACAATTCCTCTTATTAAGGCCTAGAATGAGTAGAAATTAGCTCTGACGATTTAAAATAAAAAAAAATGCCAAATTTAAAAATTATTATTTCTGGTTGAGAAAGTGTTGCTACCTTGCTTTGCGTGCGCATCCGCCACGCACATCAAGAAAAAGTTTGAAAAGCGTGAAACGTCGGCATCATTTAAAAGACTTTATCGAAACTTTATTTGCGCCTCGCCTACAAAGTAGTTTCTGGCGTATTGAAAGAGAATGATAAACGCCAAGACATAAGGTCTCCAAAACATAAAAGATAACGGTCACCGTTACGAAAAAACCGTATAAAGATAAGCGTTATAGTCCAAATATTGCGTTGATTCTAATCCGCTCATTATAACTTGTTCGCAATTTTCAAACATCATTCCCCCCCCAAAAAAAATAGAGATATTCGAAATTCTCTTTTTACTACTATTCTGATCAACTGTTCTTTAGCATTAGCAGGATTTAATTTTTACAAGTAGTACGAATATTTTGGGTGTCGCAGGCAATGGATGTTTAATTATCTGGAAAGTTTTAAAAGCCTTTTAATCTAGAATAAATAGTTTAATGCCTGTAAAATTCTTTAAAAAAATTCGAAACAATTCATTAATCAATGTTAGGGTTATGTCTGATCTCTGCATAATAAGTTGAAGTCTTGATGTGATTGGTCATCTTGGTAACGAGGCTAATGGCCCATGAATTTTGGTTAAGGAAATTTCGCAAAACATTTTCGGGACATACGCTTTTGCTTACAACGTGCGAAAGTGGATACGTGTTAGCGTAGACGCAATAACGCAGAAAAACGTTTTGATTTCAAAAAGTTATGATTCTCTGGTGATAGATAGAAAAGAAGAGCATTGCAATAATAAATGAAACCAATACAATAATACGTTATAAATTTGAAAAATTTTTAAGAGAATAACACATAAGAAGATAAGAATATTAAAGTGAACGCTAAATCGTTAAGAAGTGTAACAGACGTAGCAGGGGAGGAAAAGCGGGCTGGTGAAGAGAGATAAAGAGAGAGGGAGAGAGAGTGAGTGAGTGAGTGAGAATGTGTGTATGTAAGTGTGTGTGTGTGTGTGTGTGTGTGTGTGTGAAGACTAGAGAAAGAATTCTTATATGTGGTATGTGTTCTAAATCGCATAGAAAGAGAGAAAAATAACATAACATTATATATATACTTTTTTGTAATAAAAACTTGTACTCGTAGATTGTGTGATGCCAGTTCGATCTGCTAATCCGATACGCGCAAAGAGTTTGATACACGACAATTTGGAGAAACAGTCTAGTAGTAGAAATTCATTACACTCTAGAATGCCCAATATTAAAGTGTTTTCCGGAACATCGCATCCGGACTTGGCTCAAAGGATTGTCGACCGATTAGGCATCGAATTGGGCAAAGTAGTTACAAAGAAATTTAGTAACTTGGAAACCTGGTAAGTAAATAATTATGACGATAACAACAGCACCGACAACAACCGCAATTATAATCAACAAATTTAAACAATCAAACCAAATAACTACCTGTGCCTAAGAAAAATTATTTCACAATTAGTAAAAAAAAGAAAAAAAATAAAAAAGAAGAAAACGAAGAAAATATTTAAAATTATTAAATTAAATCGGTAATAAGACAAAAATGCGCAATTTGTTTAAGTAAATTTGTTTTATATAAATTTTTTTTTTTTTTTTTACAAAAAGAACAATTCTGTTTGTGTTTGTTAACTGTATCTGCTTAAGTAACAAACATATATATTTATATATATATATATATATATATGTATATATATGTATACAAACAACATAATAATGAAATGTATTTCTTAAAAGAAAAATGTGTAACGATATAAAACACGTGAATCTCCCACCAAGTGCTGTTCTCGTGTTTCTGCCTGCCTCTTATAGTTTTTTAATGGCCATGGTAAGGAAGAACGAAGCACATGTGTACATTTTTTTCTTATGTAAACTTTTGATGTGGTTATAAATTAAAAACGTTTATATATTATTTAACAAACAATGTTATAAATGAAATAATAATAATAATAATAAAAATAATAAGAAAACTCATTTATTGTTAAATTAAAGAAAATGTGGCATCGTAGTTGTCTAGTGCTTAGTGCTCCTTAATAGCTATTTATTAAGAAAAGTTTAAACGCTTAATAACTCAAGGATGCCTGTTGCCCTTCCTTAAATAATTTCTTGTTGTTGTTATTATTGTTGTTACTATTGTTATTATTATTATTATTGTTGTTGTTTTTGTTCTATGGACATTTATTATGTTTGCATGTTGCGCTCATTTCGGGGTTTTTCCCTATGCCTGGTCTGTTTGCCTGTTTACCTGTCTGCCGTTTCTTTCTTTGTATAATCAAACACCACTAGATTTCCTTTTTGACTGTACTTCGTTTGAAAATGTGCTTTATAAGAAACAATACACTTTCTTTCTTTTTTAATGAAAAATCGAAGAACCTCTTATTAAAAAGAAAAGCAAATAAAAATCGAATATTTGCTTTATTTCTTTTTATGCGAATTTAAATTAAATTAGTATCATACGCTAATAGGCGAAAAAACCAAAAAAAAAAAAAAAATATGACCAATATAAAGATGTGTGTAAAGAGTGCTTCCATATTACAGCCATAGTTAATAAAATGGTATAAAAATGTAAAATAATGTTTTATAATTTATATAGCCTTTGCGAAGGCATGCCTACCCTTTTTTTTCGCTTTCTTTATTTATTTATTATTTTTTATTTTTTTAATATAGAGGTTATAAAATGCTTTTGTTTTTAAGTTTTTTTTTTTTTTCTCTCTTAAATTACTTTTTTCTGATATACATTCAACAGAGTAGTTGATAAAAGTGTAAACCTACATCTCAAGCAATACAGCAAAAATCTCTTTCTCTTACTCTTTTTTTTTTTTTTTGTTTTCTTTTTCATAACCCTGAAGAAATGTATTTACTCTCTCTTTTGCTTTATCTTTCTCTTTCTCGCAGTATGTGCGTTACCCTTTGTTTTTCTTTTAGTTAAACATGCTTAAATGTAATGTATTTAGTAAAGTGCTGTCTACTAAGAAAAAATATTTCGCACATGACATGCATGTTATTATGGAGATTAATTTTAATTAAACGCGTTTTTATTAAATACAACGTTTATAGTATAAGATGTATTGAATTGATGCGGGTATATGTAATACCCGAAAGGGCTTCAAATAGTGCTTATTGTTACAATGTCAAACAATTCAATATCATTTTCTCAATCAAGTATAACCATGTATGTGTGAAGTAAAACAAGCCATTTATTTTTTTTTTTTCAAAATCTGATCTTATATAACGACATAATTCTCTTAGTGAATGATGCGCAATCAGTTCAGCGTTTCTCTAATATTTTGACGCTTTTTTTTTATAGAAGAAATCTATTTTTCTGGAGCGTTCTTTTTCGATTAACGCACAGATAACAGTCGCTATAAACTGGGTGTAGAAAATGTTTCTAGGTGACGTGGTGCATTTATTTTTTGTGAGTGTGTGGGCGTTCTCATATCCACGTTTCCATGCACATATATTTTTATAATGTCAGTTAGCTATTGAAACTTTTCTTTGTTCACTTTTCGATTATCGAGAAGCGTTTTTTCGAATTTTTATGACGTTTTATGCTGTAATCATTTTCCTTGGCCGTCCACTGCGTTCAGCAGCGTCGATTGCCTATGCGACTGCGTTAAAAGTTACCAAGCCATCGACAAATAGTCGTTTTCGACGGACGAGAGTCGAGAATTGGAATTTCAGGGCAATGCGAAGCTCCTATCAAAAAGCAACGTTTAATTAACGTACGATATTCAGATCTTTTCGTTGTTATGAAAAGAAAAAGCAACGTCATTAAAACTTGTGTAAAACTTAAATGAATATTCGTAGTAATATGAAATTTTAAATGGCGTTGATTCGTTGAAATCGCAAATTCACGACATTTCTCTCAATGCGGAGATGTTTGGCAGTAAATATACACATTTTCGAGTTAAAGAAAATCGATATGTATTGAAGAAGGGAAAACAGTAACCGAAATCGTTATCCAAGACAGAGGGACACATGTTATTTGCTTACTTACCGTTAAGCATTGGAAACAATTAACATAATTTAATAAACCTCCTGTTGTGGATATAAATGTCTAGCCTTTAATCTTGCTTTTTGCAATTGTTTATAAGTGAGAAATTTCTTACTTCGATTAGATGACCTATTGTCCCATTCGTCAAACTTTTTACTTGAATCGAATATAATCTATTTACACGAAACGTTTTAATAAATAAACAATTAAAACCCAGTGTTCGATTTCATATCACGAGTTTTCTACTAAATGTAATTTTCTCATAGGCCGGTGTCCTTTTCACTGAGCTAAAAAAAAAAGAAGATGATACGGAAATCTAATCGAATTTCTATTCGACTCGCTTATTTGCACGCTATTGAGGTGTTTAGTTAAGTTCTCGAAACCATTCAGCAATAAATGGCAAAAAATATAATAATAAAGAAATAATATGAACAAAAATATTTTAAATAATAATAAAAATTTATAAACATCGCTTTCTTGGAGGAATCATATTCTTTTTCTTTTTTTGTAACGTATGATGTAGACGTTTTGCTTACATCGATATCGTGCGATTAAATATCAAAGTCTGAAACCCGAGAAACTTTCAGAAATATTTCAGGAAATGTTTAAAAATTGATCGCTTTCATAATGCGTTTTAACTGAAACGTCAAAGCCAGTTTGCTTGCGAAACGATTCATAATATCTCTTATTCTCTTATCGAATCTATTTATATAAATAGATATTGTAGATTCCATGAATTGACGGCCAAGTCTAATCTTCGTTTTTTTTTTTGTCATTAAGTAAGCCTCTTAAGGAGTTTGCTTTTAATCATTGCATTTTTGAAATGCACCCCATGAGTTCTTGCCAAAAGAGGCCTTGTAAGATCTGCCTGAATATTAAAAATTTTTTTAATTCTTTCACAAGTCCATCGATAGTAGTAGGGTAATTTTACCGTTATTGTGAGGAAGTAAGAAACAGTTTTCATTTCACTTCTTCATAGCATCCGACCCGATTCCGTTCTCCGCTTACATCTCTAAACAAATACGGTTATTTTTTCATAATAAATATTACACTTTCGATAATGTCATGCACTGGCTTACTCTTCATTAACTGACACGGTACGATTAATAGTTGACCATCAATAATTACTAAGAGATTACTGTTGTTATGTTGTTGTTGTCAATTTTTAAGTTACTGCTTATCATGCTCTCTCTTAGTTTAACCTTTCTCTTATTTTATCTAACTCCAAGTAGGTTTTTTTTGTATCACCTTTGCTTGACTCTTTTCTTTTCTTTTTTTTTTTTTCTCCTATTTTAAAGACTCATCAACGCAATAACATAAATAAGTAAAATTAAGTCAAAGCGCATGCTTTAGTTTTTATCTTTTAATTCATTGTTTCTGCTTTATTCGTTGCCGACGACATCCTAAACATTTGTTTAATTCGTTGCATAGCAGCTGATTTTCGTAACGAAGAAGGGCTCGGCGAAGTACAACAGGAAAGAGAGGAGAGTATTAAAGCGAAAGAAGAAGAATAGTGTGTGAAAAGGGGGAAAGAGAGAGAGATAAAGAGAGAGAGGGAGAGAGGGAGAAAGAGAGAGAGCCACATGAAATAATTTGATTATAATATTTTCTCTATCTATCTGCCATTTAAGCTCAGCGGATATGATATTTTTCTAATATAGATTTTAACTAATTAGAAACTGTTTCAGTAAATGAAATGAAAATTTTCGGAGCGCAGCCTTCGATACATACATATGCATGCATACACAAGCGACGTCAAACAACTGTTTTGTATCTATGCGTAAACTCCAACGGATAATTACAGTCGAATAGTTAAACCTAAATAAGTTTTCGACTACTTTCAAATAAATCGTTGTTGTTTTTTTTTTTTTTGTTGCGTTTACTACGGGACTTCTACAGATACCTAAAAAGTAAAGTAAGAGATATGTTTCGCATTTGACTGGATTTTATGACTTTTGCTTTTAAGGTTGTGTGTATTTATTTATATTGCATAGGTATTCGTTTGATTGCTTCTTATTTGTGAAAGAATGCGTATCTACTTAAGCGTAAATTAAAGGTTAATTTAATTATACAATAGATTTTTTCTCAATTCTCTCTCTTTTTTTTTTTTTTCATTCCAACATAACAGAGGTCGTTTCTACTAAAAAAAAAAAAAGAAAAAATATTTTTTTTTGTTTGTTGTTCACCATTTTACACTAAAAAGCAATAGATATGCGTGTACAGCAACGTAAGCGGAGCAAAGCTAAGCCTCTTGTCAAGCGTGACCGCCTTAGTAAAGTTGTCTTGATAAGTGCTTAATTTTTGTAAATCTGAAATGATTGTTTCGCCTATATATGTACTAAGTTGGGAGTA